ATGTAAAAAATATTCCGATTTCTCATCTATGAAACATATATTTACATTTGTATGGCACGGGTGTCCTTTCAGGAGTTCTCAAAGTGTGGGTCACAAATAAATGGCATCAGGCCACAGTCTCACCGGCTGTGGTACGGTTTACTCACAGCAGCCATCTGCCCGCTAGCAACCTGGAACGGCAGTACTTTTCAAAATGCCTGCATCTGCAGTAAAATCGACAGTCTGAATTCTGATCCCTTTCAGTTACTGCAGTTATGTCCAACACAACACACCTGATGTCTCACCCAGAGCTGGAGACTTTTGATCAGCAACTCTCGAGATAGGTGCTCAGTCTAATAAAACCTCATTAAAAATACTCTGTTGTCTTTATTACTTCTTCCTTTTAACTAATAAGATAAATATTTTTCCAGTGGAATGAAAGGCTTTCCAAATAGCTCACGTGGCAGCAGAAACAATGTCCCAGTCATTGCCTGAAACAAGATACCACTTAGCCACGCTTAAGGTTTCTCCTAAATCCCTCCTCTCCATTTACTATAAATTTGTCCTAGGAACAATTAAAGAGTTATTAATCTTTCAGACTCTGAATGTACTCTGGGCCCTTAAAATCATTCTGGCATTATCACAGGTCAAAGCAATCATTTCTTATGGATGAAAACCCTTTATGTAAAGTTGATTATATTGTACTGTCATATCTGTGAGCAGCTTTTAGGTGTAACCTGTACATTCAGGAATTTGCTTTTCATTTGTATTCTTGCACATCAGTAGCAAACCTTGTACCTAACTCAATAGCCTTGTTTCTATGATTTTTATAGAAGTTACACAATATTCTATTTCTGTAAGCCATGAAATGTTGGAATATTTGAATGGCCATGAGCTGACTGGTCCAATGAAATCTAAAGATACATACGTGCCCTCCAAAAGCATGTTGAAAAAGTACTCATGTTTCACTGGTGTTCTCTCATTTTGTAGTTGCATTTGGATTCTTGTAGCCAAATCCTACTAAAGAACAAGAAAGCGGGCAAAAGATGGTTATACCTGCAGTATGATGCCCGTACAAAGAAAGGTGCACACCATCCTCTCTCTAGCCTTCAGTTGCTGAGTATTATTATTATCTTTCTAGTGCCAATAAGCTGTTTGTATCCAATAAATACTTTTTGTCTTCCAATGCATTTTATATCTGCTGTTTATACTGTTTTATTTTTCCCCTGCCTAGACTGACCTAGAGTTCTTGCATCCTCTTTCTTCCTCTCCTGCAGCAATTTCATCTGCCTTTAGAACTGGATATAACACCTCTCGCGTGTCAGTGTGTAACCTGAAAACCTTTTTGATAATCAGACAAACCAGTATTTGACAATCCATATATTCGACGTCACAGTGAGGCTCATCAAGTTCTACAACTTCCATGTTGGTGCCGTAGCTCGTAGGTTGCTAGCGAACCACAAAGACCGTGACTTCCAAAAATACAACGCAAATGTATTTCACACTGCGAGGCAGCAGCCAAAAGATGGATGTGAGGGTGATCCTCTGTGGTCTGGGGAAATGCAACCCAAACAGGATCACCTGGGGAGCCTCCTGGATTTCTTTTTCAAAGTCAATGCTTTGCTCCAATTTATGGAGGTCTGCCAAAGGACACGAAGAAAGATTAAACTTGCAGATATTTCTGTTAACTACAAAAGTAGTTGGGATTACCTGAAAATTAATGCTATTTAGCTGTCATTTCTAAAGAGAGACATAAGCATATTTATTCTGTGTGAAAAGCATTTTTCATTCTCTATATTCCTTTATGATGATTTTGTAAAATATCTGCAGAACTTCCCTTTTTCCACTGAGGCACGGGTAGTTCTATCTGCATGTTTCTGAAGCGGCAGCTGTGCCCCTCTGAAGGTAGAGCTGTTGAAAGTCTGTCCTTTTTTGTTTCCAGAACCTCATATAAGAGCAAATAATCAGCTGTGTTGTCAGGACGCTTTATATAGCAGCAGATTTGCTGTTAGAAGCAATGATTACCTTCTCCTTTGATGTGTAGTTTTTCCTCTTGATTGTATTTCTGTATGAAGATACTGTTTCTTTTTCAGACACTAAATTCTCCTCCACCTGACCTTGATACTTCAACACTTTTTACAGGTGGACCCCAAACAATTTTAAGACTAAGGCTTTTTAGTTTTATCCGTCTTTTCTTGTCTAAAATAGTGGAGTGGCTCTGGGGAGGAAACAAATATAGAATGAGATATATGTGCCTTAAATAAAAAATGTAATTAAGAGATTGTTCCTTGAAGTACTTCAAATTTGTGTGTATTTGTCAAAAGTGGTGTATAAATTAACTGTAGCTGGTTCACCTTAAAGTTTGATACATACTAATTTCAAACACTTTTAAACTTAGGGGCAGGAATTATTCAGGTCAATGTAGTGTTTAATATGTCAAAATGCAAGATAAGGACATTTTAATACTGTTTGCAACTATGAAGACATGAACCCCTTTACGTTGTAGGATGTTCAAAACAAAGATTCTGCCAAGAATTGTTTGACATTTTTTGATGAAGTATTTTTCAGATATATTTGTAGCCAATGAGATGCTCTTCATGAAAATCTCCATTTTGACAGGAAAAAAATGCACATGAATTATTTTGAAAGACTGACATTCCTGGACTAGAAATTTTCATGTTTGCATTCCAAAACAGTGTTACAAGTAACATTTGTAATGAAAGTCATGTATAAAATTGTGTATTACTCTATTTGCCAAGAGGGTTATTGAACAGAATATTCATCTGAATTAGAGTATCCATTCAGCAGGTATAAGCCACCATACAAATAATAATTGCAAATTATATCAGTCAAGCAGTTATCATTTATACTGGTTTTAAAATGATTAAAATAAAAATCATTATAATGATTTGAAAAGCCTAACTGTCCAGTCAAGCAGTTGCGATTGGAGCGCCACGCCAACCAGGCACTGCAATCTGCAGACTGAAGCTCAGCCGTAGTAATTGTGTCAAGAATTACTTGAGACAACAGAATATTCAAGGAAAGTTACAAAATTTCCTGAGCAGCTCATAAGCAAAAAACCCCCTGCAGATTGCAAAAAGGTGTACTGACTTCTCCTTCAGAAAACACCTGAAGAGCCTTCCTGTTTGAGACGGGCAGTCTGTCACGAATGAGGGTTAAGAGGAAACAAGTGCTTGTGTGGAATGGGCTTGGTCTAAAGCTATGGTAGTGGAGAGGGGACAGAGTTTTTGAGGCATTTTTGTTTCGGTCTCTTTTTCAAGGGCCACCAGCTGGAACATTTGTGGCAAAGACTGTCTCTCCTTCGTGGCTCAGCTGAGGGTCAGGAACACAGGGTAGTCCGGTATGTGTTGAGCTCAAACCGCAAGGACCGGAGAGGAATTGCTAAGCCTTAATTTGACAGCAGGCTACTCATCTCTGCTCTAAGCGACATGACTTTGAAACAGGTACCTCAGCTCGTAGTAAGAAAACAGCTGCTGTGATTTTTCTGTGTATTAATGAGCTGTCCAGTTACACGTCATCCATCCTCTTGTGTCCACTCCATCTCCATCCCCCTGTTGTCATCTCTGTCGTGCGTGTGTCCTCCGCCCCCTCCACCCCCGGTACCATTTGCCTCACAAATTCCTTTTAGGAATTTTCTTGCTTAGTTATTCCATAAGGCAGTTTGACATTTCAGAACAGTGACCCTGCCTTTGAGACACCATTATGGCTATAAAAGCACATACCGACACGATTGAAATTCAGGAACCTTGGCAGTGGAACCTGAAGGGGCGTATTGCTACACCCTAAGAAGGCAGGCAGTTGAACTCCTCCTTAAGACACTGAATTCAAAGCACCTTTTAACACATTGGTCTCTGAGGTCAGCCGTGTTTGAATGCATAGTTTTGACCATAGAGATGAAAACTGCTCTATCACCCTCTCACAGTTGTTTGCACGTTAGTATTTAAGTTACCAAGGAAACAGACTGACCTGCCATGTTACTCTACGGCAGGAACACTTAGCAGAGGCATATTAGCAGCGTATGATCTAAGTCTGGTTGCAACTGGAACAAAAACCCCTGGGCATTCATATCCTGCTTCTGGGGAGTCTGCAAAAGGTGACCAGGAACAAAAAGCCTTTGTAAGACTCAAATAATTCTAAAGGGATTTATATCTTCATTGGGACGAAAAAAAAAAATGAACTGAAAAGCATCGTTTTTAATGATTTCAAATGGGGGGTTTATGACAAATCTGTAACAAGCTTCTAGGAATATTTTTAACAATTGGTATTGTATCCAGATAGCGTAATTCAATTTGATGCCATCTTAAATGTTAAACAAAATGAGCTACATGTGAACAGTGGAAAGAAAACCGAAGAGAAACCTTTCAGAGCTGACTTCAGAGCTCTTTCCTAGCTTAGTTTGTATTTCTGGCAAACAGTTTCTTGCAGATCTATTTATAGCTGCAGCTTCAGCTGAGCTGCTTTTTATAAATGGGCTTGCTATCTCTTGGTGCTCGGACTAAACTACAAAAAAGCACTTGCACAGTGGCAAACGTGTCCCTGCGTAGGAAGCTGCTGTAAAGAAGGCAGCTGTGGGATTTTCAATTCCACTGCTCACTGACGTGCGCTAATTTGGCCCATGCTACAGAAAAAAAAAAAAGAGGATCCTAATTAGTAAAGGGACGTTATTAGATAAGCAGATGGAAATTGTCACAATTGATTAAAGAAAAAAAACCGCCCCACCCAAGTCTGTAGGGTATAAATGCTTCCACAGCGCACTCACAGAAGCAAGAGGCAGTTTCGGTCAGGGCGCTGTTGATGCCTGAGCAGCAGCTCTAGGGCGGGGATGGGACTTTTAAATCAAAAGGCCTGAACGTTGCCCGGGTCCCAGGTGCCCAAACCCCTCGGCTGTGATTTCTGGGGCGGCGCGGTCTGAGCCTCAATCGGCTGTTGGGGCCTCGCACCCAGCGGGGGGGGGGGGGGGGGGCGAGGTTTCAGCCGCATCGGCCTGAAGCGGCTGAGCGCCCCGCTGAACCCCGCGCCTGAGGGGGCGCTCGCTGAAGAGACACCCCCCCCCCCCCCCCCAATTCCTCACAGCTCGGGATCCTCTCCTTCGGGTCGGAACGCCACGCAGCAGCGTGGCTTTATTCGACTTCTCCGCTGAAGAGGGGATTTCTGAACTGGTGCGAGCTGCCACGGTGCGGGGAAAAAAAAAAAAAAAAAAAAAAAAAAAAAAAAAAAAAAAAGTCGGTCCCTTTCGGCCAGGCGTTGCCCTAACCTTCTCCCCCGGCTTCCAAGGAGCGCCGGGCTGAGGGCGGGCGGTGCCGGAGCTCGGCCCCGCACCTCCCGCCCGGGTGCCCGGGAACCCGCGCTTCCAGCCGAAACCCCCGGCCTCGCGCGGCCTCCTCAGGCTGCGGGGCGCGCCCCGGCCCCGCCGCCCGGGCCCTCCGGGGCGTTGGCGGGCAACGGCGGCAGCATGGCGGCACCCCCGGGCGCCGCGGCAGCGACCGAGGGGGCACTCGGCGGCCCGGCGGGAAGGGGCCGGCAGCCTCCCGTCTGCGCTCTCTCCGCCTTCAGCGGCGTCCCGACCCGGCGGGAAGGGCCTCCGGAGCTCAGCTACTTCCACCGGGAGGCCAAGGTGAGGGGCGGGGGGGGCTGGCGGGAGAAGCCTTCCCCGTGGGTGTCTGCGCAGCGGCATCGGGCTCATCCTGAGGGGGCTGGTCCGGCGGGCGCCTAAAAAAACCCCCGGTGGTGTGCCAAAGGCCGGCAGAAATGCTGTGCGGTAGCTGCCAGCTGGGCTATCCAGTGCCTGCGCAGGAGGTTTCATCTTCAGAGCCCTCGGCCCAGTGTAATCGGTATATTTTGCTACTTGTGGGTAGGTAGTGTCTTTTCACTGGGTGGCAGGAGTAGGCGGAGACGTGGTCTGCCAAGGATTCGGGGAGCAGCGGGCCAGGTGGTGCCCCCAAAATGCGAGACGGCTTTAGGGGGAGCGCTAGGAAAGGCATCATCTGCCACTGGGATTGGGCGCAACGCCTGTGGTTTTTTTCTGGCAGCGCACGCTCTCGGGGATTCTTTAATAAAGAAACTGCTCCATTTTCAGTTGAGGGAAAAGGGTTTCGATGTGCATTGCTCAAATTTTCCGTATGCTCCGCATTAAACAAGAAAATCGATAGAGCTACTCAAAACAGTAACGTCAATACATGTCTTAATGACCAAATGTTTCTGAAGGTGTCACACTGACACTTGGCATCTAGCAACTCAAGTAGACTAGCAGGGAGCCTCACTCCTCACTTTCTTCTGCCTTATATCACCCTTCTTCCTCATTCTCTCTGTCTTCATACTTAAAATCAGAAATTAAAACAATCTTATGCCTTCGGCTTCAGCCAGGCTGTACTTCCCGGGCAGCACACCTTTCTCTCTCTGAAAAGAGTTATGTGCAATGTTGAAATTAACATCTCTTTCTTCAAAAAGAAAAAAGAAATTAAAAAGCTCTGAAATGTTAGTTATAGCAACGTAATATAGCAATTACGGCAACATATATTTCTTTATAGCAGTAAATGCAGCCCGTGAATCCCCTTGCCCCCAAGGGACAGGCTGCTGAAGGAGCAGGTCGAGCGTCCCCAGGTTGTGGGCAGGGCGCAGGCGGCAGCGCCGGGCGTTACAGGAACGGCAGATTTCCCACGTTGACCAGGTGGCCCTGCTAGAAGACGGGTAGATTTGTAATTTCAGACTCCTCCGCGCTGATTTCAGCGTTACCGTGGGAAGGTGCTCGGAGCCAGAGGTGAGCAGGCACAGTGGTTGCCACGCTTAGCTTAACAAAACACAGCAGAGAGAGCAGAACGAGAGCAAGGCTAGGGCAGGCCAGAGGGCCAGCGTGCTGCGCTGGGGGCTGGTGGAGCTTGCAGTCCATCCAGTCTGCACAGAATTAGGAACCATATGGCAGAGCTTTTCCTTAAAATACAGCGTCTGCTTTCACGCTCCTGATGACCTCATTTGTGGGAAATGCTGCTCCAGTGGCATGGAAACAGAAAGTGGTAACAGCTGCTTAAGAGGTTTCTTCACAGCACAGGCCTCAGCCACAGGAGAACAGATTCAACCCATTCTTTTGCACAATTGAGGAATTGGATAATTTGATTTTTTTTTTAATTTATCCAGGAAAAGGAATTTCATTCCTTTTTGCAGCTTAAATCCCTATAACCAACTGTATGTTAGAGACTGAAGCAAAGACAAATAGAGGAAGATACGCTTAGCACATGGCCATAAACCAGAAATTCCTGACTTTTGATCCCTTGGCTGACAGTTGCTCCCTTGATTGTCTTCCATAAGTTACTTTAGCCGGTTTGTGTGGTGTTTCCTCTTCTGTGACACAGAGAAAGCTATTGTCTATTTTATGTGTGTTTGGAATATTAATGTTTGCCAAGCGCTTAGCATTACTAGCAGTACACAGAGGGTGCCCACCCTGAGTGCAAATTTATTGTCTGCTCTGCATGATTCAGTTGCTCTGATGGGTTTAAGAAACAGCTCCCCACCACTGTCACCTAGGACAACTAAGTCAAAGTTTAACAACAAAAAGAAACAACAGCAAAAAGTTGTCAGTATATTGAGCACAGAATTGTTGCCTCTACACATCGGGCAGAAGATCTTAAAATAGATCATCTGGGAGACAGCTAGTTTTTAACATAACAGGCTGGCTACCTATCTGTGGGTTGCAGAAAGTATGAATTATCTCCTCTGACAGGGGTAACAAATGATGCCAAGTGAATAAAAACGAAAGAGCAAGTAACTTTCTTGCTGGTTAGCACAGATTAGATGCCCACTGAAATTCTGAATTAAACTGGTAGGGCGGGCGAGGAAAGGAAAAGCAAGGAAGCACAGAAAAAATAATAATGGAGGTGGCAAATCAGATGCAGGATGCTCTTGAATATGCCCAAAATTCTCTGAGACTTGATGGTTTGTGAGAAATGAAGGGACAGCTAGGTTAAATATCAAACCACCCCTCCACTTGGCAGAGCCAAGTCATGGAGATACCCTTCAAATGAAGCCTGCGATTACAGCGGTGCCTCACTAGCACTCTCAATTATGGTTTCCCTTCTTGACCTGTCCTGACTTGACTATTTTTGGAGGATAGCATTGTAAATTCTAAGAGTCAAAATACAAGAGTTTTTAAATGGCTAAATTTGGTACACTGTAAAATTAGAGGTAAAAAAAAAGCCCAACAAAATAGACAATTTTTCAAATTTGTAGTTATCCATGCACATAAACCAGTGATTGATTGTCGTGTATACTAGAATATGGGCCTTTTAATGACACTCATTAACAATGGACAGCATATTTCAACAGGGGTTTTGCTTTTCTTTCCTCGAATACTTTATTGGTTTTGAAACGCCTTTGATTTCATTGATGGCAACTTATTGATTGGATTTCACAAATGCGTTTGTTAGCAGATCAGATCTTTAATGTTGCTTATTTGGATGCAACTATGTCAGCAGATATCATAAATACAGTCATAGTCTGGCTTGGGGTGTGCTGTATTTTCATATGTGACAGATACACGCATACTTACCACTGTGGCACGTTTCTGAACTCCTACCAGTTCTACTTTAGTCAGAAATTAAATGGTGACTCCACTGCAGGATACCTTTTAATGTCTTTTTAATTCCAAATGAATTTTGAAACTGTCTACTTCTCTTTTATATTACAGTGCTAGATGATTTAACAAATATATGAATTTAAGAAGGAGAATATAAAGTTCAGATAATTAAAACCAGTAAAGCAGTTAAATTTCCAAAATTTACAACAGATTACATGGAAAAAAATGAGGTAAATTGCCACAGGGGAAATTTCAGAGCTGAACAGACTTAAAAAAAGATACCACGTTTCATTAGGTACTTTTATTGCAGGCTATTCCAAAGGAGTGACCCAAACTTGCTAATAGTAGCTCGGTAATACTACAGTTGCCATCATCTAATGCTATATGAGCACTGTTTAAGTATGGACTTGACTACATATATTCTGTAACCTGTAAAGTTAAGCAATACTGTGAATGAGCCATTTTTCCTCCTTTTCTCAAGACAGGAGATGTTTCCACTTACGAAGCCATTTTTAAAAGACCAGAGGGTTACAACAAAAATCTTCACCGATGTGACAGAAAACATGCAAAGAGTCGTGGCCTTAACATCAATGAGGAGGTAACTCTGATAAATTAATAATTGTCTTTGTTAAAGGTATTCTGTGCTTTTTGACATGGCTGGAAACCACAGGCACTGTTTTACCCTTTATAATGCAGCCCATACCGTAGCAAAGGAATCAGGGAGAGAGGGGTAGGCTAGGAATGTCTGCCTGTGCTGGTCAGTGTATATGATAGAGATGGCAGAAGGAAGAGAGAGGCAAAAGTTAAAATTACTGTAATCGCTGTGTGATAAAACTGTCGATGTTCTGCGACAAAGGCCACCGCTTGTGATTTGTCTCCCTAGCAGCTATATATGCCAGCCATTTCACTGCAAGCACATAGCCACAGTGCCCTTCAGCTCTGTCAGACAGGGCAGGGAGCATTAGGTGCTCCCGAAGGAATCCCGGGAGTGCCCATTGCCATCACCTGCTCGTGCCTAGTAACTCAACTGCTAATGTGCGTGAGGCCAAAAGCCGCATACACGACTACTCCAGTTAAAAATGAGCCTTTTTATTTGAACAAAAGAAAGCCAACCCACCTCCCTCAATACCAAGCCCAACCTCCAGCTGGGAAACTTGTGTAGAAAAAGTTTATCAGGGCAGAGTTAAGGCTTCTTACCGAGCTCTCGTATCGACAAAACTCAGTTTCCTACCAGTTTGCTTCCTAAAGCAGACATGTGCGGACCAGAACTCATACCAGCGCTGCTGGGCTGTGCACGCAGGGGACTCTGCCTCAGCAGGTGTCCCTTAATCCAGCCCTTTAATTAGCAGGGAGACACATCCAACCCACAGCTGTTCGATGTCACAACATGATCCTCCTGCACGTGGTGACATCCAACACTGGACTTAGCCATAACTAAGTGCAGGTCACATACTCGACTCCTGCTCTTTAATTACCTCAGTGGCCCTCAGACTTTATATAATCATAACTGTAGTGTAAAACATAATAAATAAAAAGGCCACAATCGGCGCGTTTCCGGTACACCACTGGAAGCAGACAGGCTGAACCCACCACAGCACACTGCTTTCCTTAAAGTGGGACAAGCCAAACCACTGTGAGCAAGCCCTTCGTTCCCTGCAGAGCGCCTGGGTGCACCCGGGGAATCCGGGAGCAGGGTCACAGCCGCTCGGTTTAGCTACACGTCGCACAGTGACTGCAGCCAGTGTTTGTGCAGGGCTGCCATTGCAGATTTCAAGTGTTAACCGTGCTAGGGTTACACCCTCTGAAGGCGTGCAGCGGGACGCTTCCCAGCCAGCTGTTGGAAAATGTGAGATCTGCTGAATGCCCAACCCTTAGAGATGAAATGCCACGGTGCACAGTCAGTGCTGTGCTACCAAGGGTGCTGAAAACTGGATCTTAGTTATTGAGAGGGAACACTAGCGGAATTACATACTGCTGCCCATCATTAGCACTGTAAACCCTGTATGGCTAGCAAAATCTTTCTCGATGGTACAAAGATAAGTTATTTACCCTTTTTCAACATTTATCCGCAAGTGGGACAGGGGAGGAAATGGTCTTATTTTTTGCCTGCCACTCTTCCTGACCTGATTTTTTTTCTGGTGGGTTAAAAGTTGGTGTACTGAATAGCTTTTAATGGGGTGGAACAAGGTAAGCAGGAAGGGTTGGGGGCAGAGCTGGGGGATGAATGGTTGTTTCAGAATGGGCTGTTCTGTTGTTTTGCTTTTGGTTTGGTTTGGTTTTGTTGTTTGTTTGTTTGTTTTTTAAAAAAAAGAAAGAAAAGGGAAAAGGGTTTATAGCATCTTCCCAAGAATCTTAGGTCTAGTTCTGTCCATGAGTCTGGAAATGTCTCTCAGCTGACTGCCCTGCTAGGAGACCCCTGGGTTCTGTGCTCCCACCTGCATCCTTGCAGGAAACACAGGGGCTCGTGTGCTTCCTGGGCTCTGTCCTCAGTGCTGACAGGGCTCAGACTTGTGTCTGTTGTAGCAAAGAAGTAATTGTTCGCACTTTGAACTGTGGTGTGGCATCCACACTTCAATTCTCCTTTAGATACTATTTATATTGTGAAACTAGGTAAACACATTGGGGACCAAGGCGTACTGTGTTAGCCAGTGTGCAAACATACAGGCAGCCTGGTAAATCTGAGACCTTTGGCTAGCAAAAGAAAACCAAACAAATCCTGTCTCTCCCTTCTGACTCCAGAGCTTGCTGTAGCTGTAGCGCAGGAAGGACCTGCAGACTGCAGACAGTGATTGCACAGTCACTTAAAGTGCAGTTTACTAAGAACACGCTTAAAAGAATCTTGCCTTGGTCATTTTTCACCAAGTCCACTTCCCATCATTGCAGAGCAGTTATTTCTGTAATCTTACAGATACAAGCAGTTTTTTGGTAAAACCTGTCATTGTGCAAAAATACAGTAGTATATCCTTTATGTCATTCAGGGAAAGCTTACATGGACTAGTGGTTGCTCAAGGTTTCTCTTTAGGCTTTGATTTTTTTCATGCAGTGCTTTCACTGAATTGTGCAAGCAGGGTAGGTGTTCCTGTAACAGAGGACGCGAATCTCTCCTGTTTTTCAAATGAACCACACAAGTCAGTGCACAAGAAAAATAAGAATGAAAATAAATTATGTGCCACTTTCCAGTAACATAGCGTTTAGTTTGACAGTACCCGCATGGTAATCACCTGTGTATATGTGTGTATGTATGATTGTGTAAAAAATTATCAGTCCACAGTAACTCATGGCACCGCTCTGTATCTTATCAACTTGTCATCTAGTGATACATTCATGGTTTATTAATATACATAAAAAACTAGGTCAGGGATGGAGCGGTATGAGTACAGATAAGTGCTAAATAAATATACATCCTTATCACAGATGCTGTACAGTTCTGTCCATTGCTTGGCCCCTGGCCACAGCACATTTAGCAATAGATAACTGCCAAGTATTTGCTCTGTGATTTTCTTATAAGGAGACTTTTATATTTTCACAGGAAATGGCAAGACCTGTTGCTGTTTTGTCATCTTCAGAGTATGGGAGACGCATAAATAAGCCCGCAGAGCAGCCGATCAGAGATCATGCAAGGATTAATCACATGAAGGCAGAATTCTACAGGAAAAATGGCATCACCTGCTTATTGGAACAACCATCTTCAAGCCCAGATCCATGCTAAATCTCCTGTCTCTGTCGTTTCCAGCAGCACCTATGTGGAAATAGCCCACCTCGCATCAAAAAGCAGTATGGTGTTTTTGCCTTTCCCTCTACATTTTAGTTAATGGGAACAATTTGGATTAAAAATAGGATGAAATAGCAGGTGTACTTTTCCTCATGATAATTCAAATGCATGTCTTCTCTTTGTGGTGTCGTCAAAATCTCATGAAAAGCAGCATCAGCAAGAGCCTAACATTTTAGGTGGCAACACTGGGAGTGAGACCTGTTGGGTCAACAGCTGTCTTTCTGCAATTTTAGGGAGTGTTTCTACATAACTAGTCACAGACTTAACATTTAAGTAAACTTGCTTCCCAAGGTATCAATGGTCACTGACTTCTTAATCCTTACAGTATTGCTACAGAATTGTGAGGCGTCGTTTTATCTGCACAACAGCTGAAATGGGGATTCAACACAAGATTTTCCAAAATGGATGGGCTTACCCATAAACAGGCAAGTAAAGAAATATTTTAACTTACAGAAGTTTCTGTAGATTTCACGTGGAAGTCAGGTTAAAGGGGGCTTCTGAGTACTTAGCCTTTAAGTAGACAAAATCTGGGTTTAGCTGATTTCAGACCTCAATTTTGCAGACTTTCACAAGTGCCACAAGAAAAATCATCTTTGGTTCTATATCCAGTGCTGAAAAAAAGTAATACTAGCAGAACAAGCACTAAATAGTTTGGTAGAAAGAATGGAAAAAACACAAGGATTTGAGCAGCAGTCATTTGAAAAGCACGTTTAGAGTAAATGTCTAAACCTGCTTAAACATTTAGTGCCTTGTATTCTCACCGAATCCAGTGTTAAGGTGATTTCAGAAGGAATATCTCCTACAAGGTATGCATCAGTTTGGTTTTCAGGAGCCATTGATCCTGCTGTTGTTGAAAGCTGAGGCAGTTTTCAGAAAGGAACAGGCAGGCTGATCATACCAGGAGGAGGACTGGACGTCCACAGCTCTGACCGATACTGGAGTTCTGTCATGTACTTAAACCTCTGGAATTTGTGAGCACAGGGAGTCTCTGAGTAAAGTAATAAAACCAAAGGACTATTTAATCTGGGGACTGGATAAGTAGTAAATTGGGCGATCAATAGGACTTGTGTGGCATGATGTGAGAAACAGAGCACACAGAGGGGCCCATTCCAAGAGGTGTGTGTTACTTTCATTATTCATGACCTGCAAGTTCTCTGCATTCAATGAGCTAGGGAGAAAAGCGCAGTAGCCGCTACGTTCCTTTTCAACAACAAATACTTCATTAAACAAATCCAGCAGCCTTAAATGAAAGGAATCACAGTAAGAACAAAGTGAGAAGGAAATGTTTTCTAACAATACCAGAATGCTTTTTCAAAGCGCAGTATCGAATGTATACCAGTGAAGAACAAGATGGAATGTGGCCATATTCTAAGCAGGTTATTTTTAGTTTGGGACAGTCTGTACAAATTACTTCTTTTAAGTAGTCTCACTATATTTATAAGCCATCTGTGTTCAAAAAAATACTGGAAATCAGATTTGTTTGAGAACACCACCACCTTCTGGCCTGTGTGAGAAATAGTCATCACCAGCTCGCTTCCACTGTGGAGAAAGTCTTAAGTCATCAAAACACCAGCGTAAGTTTTCCTATCTCAATTCTTTGCTTATGTCACTCCCCTTCTCTTTCAGTCCCTTCTCATCCCTCCTCGCTTCTGAAGGCTTTTCACGGGTTGCTCCTCCCACTACTTGTTTCTCATTCAGTTCCAAGTGGTGGACTTCACCTTTCAGTGCTCAGTGTCAAAAGAATACCTTGACCATGTTTTCTGCATTAGGAAGACATTCCTTATAAATGTCTGCAAAGACGTTTCAGTCATTCTCCTTCAGTTTCTCTTTTGCTAGCATAACAACTATGCTGTAAGCTTCCCATTACACAGTTGGAAAGTACCTCCTTCCTTCCTGGTGCTCCCTGCTGACACACTGCTGGCAGTAAGGGTTTTATACATGCACAGAATGCACAACATGACACGATGTAAACAGTGACTTGGATCTGGATTTTGCATCCAAAAATCTCCAGAGATTTCTGGAACAATTGACAGACACGTGCAACTCACGAATTATTAACAGTAGCCTTGGAAGTAAAAAAATGAGCACGTTCTGCATCTACTGGTGACACGTATAGAACTTCAGGGATGTAAAAGTTTCACCTTTTTTTTGTATCAAATCATAACAGTTAAAAATCAAATCGGGTGATGCTTGGAATTCTGCTTTGCTGCTCATAAATAATAATTCCACACAGGACAGAATGCACAAGCTAACACGAAAATGTGTTTTACATGGCAGTTCCTCAAGTATACATTATGTGATCGGAACCAAGGCTATCTTATTTTCCCTTTGTCCATCTCTTAACACAACACGTTGACACAAGTTAGGGCACACTTGTTCCAGCTGGAGTGGCTGCTAGTTCCAGTTCTCAGTTCCACCCTTCTGCCAGAATTTACTCATACATAAAAAAGGACTGCATAGGACAGTTCTTCTGAGCTTCAGAGCACAATGAGCTGCTGTTTAGGCTTGAATGGCAGGCTATACACCGAAGGAACTCTGGAGAGCATATATATCCCCATGCAGAGTTTAGCTAAAACTGCCACGAAAGACAAAACTAGAGATGGTACATATCCAGAAGGTCAGGTGGCCCCCACGGAGGCAGCTGTGCAAGTCCACTGCCCTGTGGCAGCTGTTCTTTTACAAAGCAAAGCAAATCTTTTTAATAAAAATGCTCACTGTAAGGCACTGCTCTTTTGCAAACAGCACTCCCTATCTCTTAATTATGAGCAATAAGCCAACACTGCTTGTTCAACTACTGCAAATTTTAGTTTTATTAAAGACTTGGGAAATCACATGAACAGCTAGGAGTAAATTACATAATTTCGTTCCATACTGTCAAGACAAGCCCTGACTGGTAGGTAGCATGGCACATTGTATACATCCAGACCAGCCAGTATAGGTGAATCGTCACGAGTCCGGTTGCAGCTGTGAGTTAGAACCAGTGAAAATACAAAGCAAACACATCGCTGTCTGGCACTTACCTCTGTCAGCTTACAATAAATATTGACACAAAACTTAAGAAAATATGTTGCTCCTTATTACTCCTTACATACCAATTGTTTCAAGTATTGGAAGGTCTCACATTCAGAACCTCGAATTATCTTAGGTGGAGTTATTTAGAAAACATAATTGTTCTACGCACAATATTTACATATCATAGTACAGAAGATCAACCTATGAGTTAGTATTTTTCTCCAGTGTCATCAGCTGAGTCCATATGTATGAGGAAAGATTTTTTTGTGTAGATATTCTGCTATTTTTCTGTGATTTTGTAGACTCTCTATCTCAAAAAATGGAATCTAGAAACAAAACAAAAATGACTGCTGGAAATATCTTTTAATAAACAGCTGGGTAAGACTGATGTTCATTAAGCAGATGTAAAATTACACACCAAATATCTGTCTGTTTTAAAATTAAACATTTAATCCTAAAATTATTACTGATCTGTAAATCACCTGCATAGAGATTATTGTAAAACAAAGAGTGATACCCATTACAGTTTAAACTAAGTTAAATATAACAGAGTTAGGCTTATATGATCAGTAATTAGAAATTGAAAAGAAAATCTCAAAAATCTAAAAGTAACTGTTTTAGTCAAAAGTATCTTTAAAGATAAAAATAACCCTGTTCATTCAACAGGCAAAATAAAGGATATACCCTGTTGTGAAAATATTATTCACAATACAAACCAGTTCCCTTTTCAACTTCTTTTTTTTAAAACTCCAAATTCAGACATTTTTCAAAAAATATTTAATTAAAAATCCCAATTCTACTGAACTCTTAGAGAACGTTTTCCTTTAAGTTAAGATTTGACCCTTAACCACTGTAGGGAAGTACTCTTTCAAGCAGCTGCTATTTGGCATAAAACACAGACAGAATACAATAATTAATCCAAAGAAGAAGAAGAAATTTCTGTAACACTCTCACAAAAAATGGGAAAGCTAGGCAGCGAGAACATAACATAGAAAGGTCAAGATTACATCTGCCTTGGGAAGTAATCACAGCTATAGTTTTATGCATTATATAATAGTAATTTTTCACTTCTTTTATTAGACAGAGCAAAAGCAAATTACAGTCTTTGGACCTTACCTGCACAACTTCATAACCAAGTAACTGAAGATGTCTCTGTTTAATAGCTTCTTCTCCCAACAGGTTGTGGCTATTAACACAAAATCTATTTTGACCATCAACACAGAGGGCAATTCTAAAATCAAGCACAAATGCGGCATCAAAAAAACCAATCAGTTATCTTAATCACCACAACAAGTTCAGTTCCTAACGAGCATGAGACAATAGCTCCCCCCTCTTACTCCCTAATACCTATGAGAATTCAATGGTGTGGGATGGGAATTACGTAGTTCAGGACAATTTAAATCAATCAATTTAAGGGTGGGAGGGGGAAAGCCTGAAGCTCAGTGAAACTGATCTGAAAAGCTTATATGCTCTGAACAAAATTTACCGTGCAAATTAATAAATTTGATATTTTTATGCTGCTATTGGTAAGCTGGTTTGAATTCTTCTAGAAGCAAAACCATACAAAATACTTGTCTCAGCTTGAAAACATTTCAGCAGTTAAGTTTATTCAACTTATTAGTATAATTGTTAAACCTGTTAGAGTTCAAGTTACGTTTACACCGAGCCTCTTTTACGTTAAACCTGTAAGTATGGTTGGCAGCATCATGGATTATATTTCTTCTCCTTGGTGATAAAAATCACATCATCTTAAACCAAATTTTGTATATCCCGTGTAAAAAAGTTGCTTAAATTTTCAGTATGTTAAGTATATTGTGCCCCTATTTACACGTGAAAGCTGTAATTAAAAAAAAAAAAAAAAAAATCAAAGCCCATTCTTAAATATTTAAGCCTGAGATTTTTAGAAGAACCTATATTAGTCTATGAGTCTTGTGAAGGTTAAGCTGGAGAAAACAAAACCTTTTCAAAGACTTTTGCTTTATCCACAGAAATGCAGCTGCAAATACCACACAGGCAGGTTGCTTAACTTTGTATCCAAGGTTTCTCAAAATAATCCTTATTTAACATACTTTTTAAACACCTATGCATTTTTCAATAAAAGCTAGCATCTGTAGTAAATACCCTCATTACACAGGATTCCTTACAGAAGTAAATTTGTGAACTCAGACTGGCTTAAACTGTGTTAAATCTACGCAGACATGCTCAACTAGAATTAATTTGGTTCTAATTTGAAAATTAATTACAGAAGATCAAAATCCATTACTATAAGCCAAATCTGGATCCTGACTGTCACCAGGTAAAGAGAGTCAGGAGGCAAATTTTGCCAACTTTGTCCTTTAGCCAGTGGTTTCAGTGTGAAACTTGAACTTGGTTGAGGTCAATGGCAAAACTCCAATTAGCTTAAATTTTGTCAGGGTTTCACCTTCAATGCTCTCTGTCAATGTTAACCAACATTTTACCAGTGGTTTCTTTTATTCTCTTACCGTCTGTGTACCTCTTCACACTGGGCAGCAGGCAAAACAAAACCTTCCTCATCTAATTTAATCTCAATATCTAGTACAAGTGAAAAGAGAAGTGACGTTAAAATCATTTCATATAATGAGCTGTTCACTGTAATTCTCATCCCCTCACAGTTCATTGTTTTATAAAATAGCTCAAATACTACTGCAATAATATTTGCTCAGTCACAGAGGCTTGCAGAAGATGCATACAGACTATTTAACACAAACGAGTGACAACAAGTAACACTTCAGCCTTCCGAAATGCCAGCAGCAAGGTAGTATTCCAAGTCCACTAAACACCATGACGTAGCCACACGGCGCTCCGCTGGGCTGGCTGGGGCCTCTGGAATTTTGATGGCTTTGGGGAGAGACTCCCTCTCTCTGCCCCTCCCCTTTATTTTCTTCTCACTAATGCCCTAATTTATAGATTATGTCGATTTGCAAAGAGAGCTTTGGACCCAAACCCTGCCAACTTCAACCCCATATGGAAGCTGAAACGCAGAATAATTCTGGAATCATCCCTCCCTCGATTTTTTTTTTTTTTTTAATCCCGCTGATGTCCCTGGGGTCCAAGAGACCTGTCCCTCAACCCCTTATTTATCATCTACCCCTCTTGGGCACACATCTTTCCTCATCACGATCTTCTCTCACCTTCCTTTCCAGGCGCATGAAGCACTCTGGTTTGCTCACTCCTCTCTCAGTCCCCAGGCACCCACTGACAGTTCTTGCCGAGGGGAGCGGAGCCCAGCTGAGCAGGGCAGAGGGCTCACAACCTTCCAGCTCTCCCTTTCTCTACACACCACCAGAGCAGAGACCAGACAGGTGGCATTGCTTCACCTTGTTCTATAGCATATAAACTGTTTACAGGATAAGTAAAAGAGGAGCTGATAGTAAAAATAGAGAATACCAAAGTTAGTATCTATTTTCAGTGCAGACTGCCTCTGTAAATTTCAAGCAACACTGCAGTTCTTTTGTATCTCTCTTCTTCTTTCCAGCTTTGCAAATGCATTTACTTAAAGTTCCCATGAGATTTCCTCATTTCAGACCTTCTATAGAGTTTTGCATTCCAGTTTACTTTTTCTATATTTGCACAATTTAGAATGCCCACAAAGGGAATAAAATCATTTTTATTTCAGGAAAATAACTGAGCCTAAAGTTTTGACAGCATAAGCATACATTTTACTATTAATCTAAAGAAATGTTACTTACCAACTGTATAGAAATACGGTGTTGATACCTTTGATGCAAAATATATTCTTTTTTTCAGTAAATAAAGTAATCCGGTCTTCACCCTTTTGAGGAGATGAACATCCAGAGAACTGCGAGGCATGCAAAAGGCCTTTACCTGATACTTTGGATGGAGTTTGGGACCCTACGTAATGACAGAAAACCAAATCAAACAAAAGAAAAAGGGAAATAACATTTTTGCAGGTGCCTCATTAATGTAGCAAAATGTATTCTGTGCATTTCAAAGCCATGTCTAGTGAGAGACTTACAGCCTGAGAAATGATTTGCTGGAAACTTAGAAAAAAAAAAAAAACCCAAAGCAACCACCCAACATCCTCAGCAAGCTTCCATGCTATCACGCTGAACATACTGCTCATGAAAAATGCACAACTGTTTTCATTCCTCTGCAGCCAGGACAACATCAAAGTGCCTGGTCTCTTTTGTGCCCTAAGACTTCATAAGCCAAACATTAAAAAGTAGTATTTGCTGGAAAAATACTTGGAAATACACAAAAAGCACTTCAACTTAGTCCTAGTCAGTTCCATCAAACATAGAAATAGATATATATCAAGTCAAACAGGTAGAAATGCTTCATATTTTCATCAATAAAAAAAAAAAAAAAGCTATTTCAGCCAATTCCAATGTTTTGATGGGGAAGACAGTCCTCAACTAATTAACAGCAGGGCCTTAATGACCTTATCTCCCCTTGTTAACATCATTTCTGGCTTCCTATGTACCATACCTCATAAAATGGGCACTCCAGGGTAACAGTCAGAAAAAGCTGGGTTAGCTGGGAGGTAACAGTTGTGTCCAAACCAGGTGGCTGAGCTGAAACAACAATATTCAGGCTTTCAGGTGTATCTTCAACAAAGTATCTTTACACAAACCATCATGCAGAAGTTAGGAGAAGCTATTCAGTTTAAGGCCACTTTGCTCATTATCATTCTTGATCATTGTTTGAACGAACAGAAAGATTGGGGGCGAAATGACGTAGTTAGAAAAATGAGGAAATGCTTTACAGAAATACCAACATAAAAAAACAAACAACTAGCAAGATCTTAGTTAAGACTGTCATGTCCTTTCACAAACAAAAAAGAAAATTGATCTGGAAGCTGCAGGATGTTCTACAGGGAGGAGTAAATTTGAGTTGAGGTCTTGGAGAAATATCCCCTTTCTGTCTTCCTACAAGCCATTCTCCCCAAGTTATAATCCCAGGATCTCACTGTTTCACTCAGTTGGGTGGGTTTTTTATCTGAAAGTAGTGGATAATACTGAAAAATTTCTGAAGATTTGTCTACAAGTGTATACTTGAAGCACATTTCATGTTACATGCACAGTATCATTACAGAATGGTAAAAACCTGACGTTGTGTAAGATGCTAATCATGCAGGTCATTTTCTCAAGTTCCTGTTCTGAACTCTGACCACTCTAGTTGAATACTTTCACTGATTTAAAAGGACATATGCAAAGGAACTGGTACTAGGAGGTTTCTCATTTTCTAAGTATCAGCTTGAGAACTTTAAAAGACATTCTGTTTTTTAGGACATGAGGCACGTCTGATTCCTAAAAATTAACCCCTTAAGGTATTTCGCATTGAACAGCTAAAAATTGAATGACCAAAGTTTCTTTCTGGCATAGCTTACTTATCCATATAATGCCACCAAATATGCTTTATTATCTAACACAGAGTTACTTGAAATCTGTAGGTTACAACTGTGTTGTTCATAGTAGGCTGGCGTGCAAAAGTGTTGGATTATGCCATAGTTAGAGCCAAGGACAGGCTGTCACTTGGGGGATGTTCTACAGGCTTACTAGACTGGGCAAGAAGAACAATTAGGAGAAGGCAGCCCTTGCAGAAAAGACAATCTTAGAAGGAGCGGGTGAGCAGACTCTGACATCTCCTAAGCCAGATGGGACAAACCATGCGATAGACTTTTAAATTTCAGTGTTTTCCTCGGTGTGGTTAAGACCTACAACCAAGTATGGGACTATAGTGCTTGCTCAGAGGTGGTAAGAAAGAAGGTTGCTGAGGGCACGGAGCAAAGATGGGCACAGGAAGCCTCTGCCTGAGGAGTGTCGTCGGCAGACAGGATGCCAATGGAAAGAAGCATCACATAATCATATCGGATTCTAGATTTAAAGGTATTAAAAAACCAGGACAAAGCACCAGTCTTTATGCCTTGTCAAAACATATGTGAGCCTCAGAATTCCATTTACATTTTTACCTAGATAACTGAAAAACACATAGCGGTCTATCCTTAACTGCTCACATTTACGACGCTGTTACATTTTACTGGTTCAGATCTTGTCTCTATTTTAATTAAGCCAACAATTATGCACTGCAAATTAATTCTTTTAGCTTTATCCATTTACCCCTTTCAGCTTTCACAAGCTGACTGCAATACAATATCAAAGAGAAATACAACCAAGTTGGAAGCAAGAATATAACACAATAATCCTTATCCTGAAAGAAGAGTAGAGATGACAGCAGGAGTCCGTCCATGGTTCTAGCTCACCCCCACCCAAAAAGCTGGACACGACACCGGCTGGCAGGAGGTAAGCAATAAAGTGCTAGAATCACTTACATGCAGTGAACCTCGTTTGAATCATAAGGCAAAACAGTATCTGAAAATTACATTTTGTACTGCCTGAGATTTACAAATTCTGTGTATTTAATTGTAACACGTTCTTATCAATAACAGTAATTTAAATTCTTTTTGTCCCAGTGCTACATTTCGCCTCGCTTCTCTCTAGAATTTGTACTAATCTCAACCAAAGTTTATAAGGACTTTTAGACTATTTTTTCAAATACAACAATTAATTATTTCTGAAGTAATAGGTGAGCTTGCTAATAACACAGTTGTAAGCAAGCTGTGGAACAGTAATTGTAACTTTTCTTGCACATTATAATTTGGTCCCAATTTTAGAAGCTATGAACAAGTGGTTTTCTGACAACTATTATCATGTACCTTGCCCTTAGAGCCTCAAGAGGAGAGTCGTTTAGACGCTTAGGAAAATATCCACAAATAAGGGTTATGCAAAGTCACTTAACAAGGCAAGCAGCAAAATCTTAAATCTAACCAGCAGTGCGCAAGCAGAAGGTAATTATTTTAGCTTCACAATCAGCACTACTAGTATTTCTACTGGTTTTTTGAAATACATCCTCCCTTGGGCTAGCCCCTGAGTAAAACGCCTAAGAGCCAGTTCCAACCCTAAGAAGTATGAAATCCAAGTAAGCAAACCAAACAACTGTTGTGGAAGAAAGAGACACAGAAAAATGAAGTGACTTGCCAAAAGCCACCATGTAAACAGGGGGCTACACCCAGAATAAAAGTCAAGTCTCAGGAGTCACTATCCAGTGTTCCACTTTTATGCCACATCCCTCATGTGGCAGTCACTACAATGCAGCAATTTAGAGAAAAATGAACCCAGACTCACTAAACTCTATTTTACATCAGTCATGCATCATTCCAAGTATCGCTGCCATTAAAAAAATCTACCACGTTTGGTCTCAGTCCTGCTAGTTCCATAATAACTGGCCTCACCTGCCTTCCTAGTGTTACCGGTCTCATAGTAACAGTCTCACTTCATTGTGAATATCCACATCAGTCACTGCCTGGGCAAAGTAAGCAGCCAGAGTTAAAAATAACACATTTCCTGCACAGAATAACTTAGCATCTAAACCCTATATGAGACAAAGGACAAACGTGGAAAACCAGGAGGTCACTAGTTTTGAGAAAAGCGGGAGGATTAACTGAAATAAAAATGTGAAGGGAATTCAAATCTCTGTATTGTACCGTGCAATTTTCAAACTCCTCTAAATGACAGAAACTGAAAGACAACTGCAACTGTGACAAGGAAGCAACAGTCTTTGGCCTCCTGATCGCTGCTCTCCAGCCATCTTCATCAGGTCATGAAAGCGGTAAGAAACGGGTGCTTGACAAGAGACACACCACATAATAGAAAGAAACGCAGAGCACTGCAAGAGAAACATTGCTCCTTACCGTGAAGCTGTTGCAGAAAATAGGGACTAAATATTTTTGGCAGAAAATTTACTGGATAACGTTGAATAAGGACACAGGAGTGTAGCAGGTTCAGCAAGGTGTGAGGCTGAAAGTGACGAAAGCGAGCATGCAGCACCATCTCAAGCTTCCTAAACAAGGAAGGAGCACTTGGAGGCAGATAGTTGAGAGTCCCAAATGGTATAATATACCCAGCAATCTGGTCAGTGGTAAATCTGTCAGCATCAGAAATGAAACCTTCTGCCGCCGCATCAAAGATGGGCTTAGAAAGGATCATCTTTTGGCAGCAATAGTGCATGATTTTGCTGACTGTCTGGGGATGCATAGTACAGATGGACTTAGGAATGTGTGTTTCCAGTGCCTCTGTAAAAATCTGTTCACGATGGCCAAAGTACAGGAAGGCTTCCAGTACGTTTACCAGTTCATCACCAGTGAAATACGGAATATGCTTCACGGAATGTTTACACAGCGCTGTGACTAAAGGAACTGCCTGGGTCTGATGAAGAACAACCAGTGAATTCAGTATTATGCTTGTGAACTTTGGGCTTAGCTGGGAAACTATGGTTAAAGTGACACTGTTCAGTCTGTTTAGCAAGGCCTGGTATTGCTCCCCTTCCCTGACAGTCACCTGCAGCGTCTTATAAACCATCACCATTTCCCTAGGACTCCACTTCTCAATGTCTTTTTCTTGCATGTGGTTCACAATTTGTTCCAGCACCGGACAACTTGGGCCTTCCAACTCAAGCAAACTCTCCCCAAAAGCACACAGATTTTTAAGAGACAACTGTCCTTTACCAAGACGTTCCTCAGCCTCTGAAAGCAAGCTTGCCATCAGAGTACTCCGGGGATCGATACGTAGTTTTACCAAAGCTTGCAATGCATTCAGCAGCCCAGTGTTTGACAGCTTTGAGGACTCAAATTCAAACTGAAAGCATAATGCCCTGAAAACGTCATTCTCTAACACTCCTTCAGGGTTTTTCAGACCATTGTCATCCACCTCAACTTCGGAAATCCTCTGCAGGGCTCCTGATGCCATAGTATCAGACATGACTTCCAGAGAGCTAAGAAAGTCAAAAATCTCTTTTGATGTACAAAGGCTGTTCAGCTTCTTGAAAAACAGTTGTTCATCCATCCACGCGTTATTAGATGTAGTAACGCTCTCAGTACCTCCACCGAGATACACAGTTTCATTAACAGAAAGAGACTGTATCCGCAGCTGTACATGGTTTTTTCTACAAAACATATACTGAGCTTTATCTTTGAAACACAGCATCCTCATGGCTACGGAGCTGCAGTTTTGGGGCTTGCGCTGCCCACTGATAAAGCTCAACCTTTTGCTGAGGGTCATCAAAATGGACCTCCTTGCTGGTGTGCTGGATGAATAAAACTGGAAACTTTTCCGGCCAATCAAAGCCATAGTGGGTCAAGCAGGTTCTCAAAAGCGACCTAGAGGAAGGAAAGTGCATGTAAGCATACAGTTTGGAAAAACAGCATAACCCTCAGTATAACACGGAAAAAAAACAAAACAAAACAAAACAAAACAAAACAAAACAAAACAAAACAAAACAAAAACAAAACAAAACAAAACAAAACAAAAAAAAACAAAAAAAAAAAAACAAAAAAAAAAACCTTTCAGCGGCCGGACACGCCGGGGGCGACCCCTCTCCCACGACCACCAGCACAAGGCAGCGCCAAGAGAAGAAACCGCCGGGAGCGGCGAGTGGCCGCCGGCGACGCGCCCCTGCCCGCGTGCCCGTCAGGACGCGGCGGCGTGGGGCTCACCCACGCACACGCGTGTCCCCGGGCAGGAGCTGCCCGGCGGCGCTTCCCGCTCCACCCGCGCGGGCCGGGGCGCCGGGGGCCGAGCCGGGGCCGGGGCCGGGGCCGGGGCCGGGGCCGGGGCCGGGGCCGGGGCCGGGGCGCGTCCCTCCCTCCCTCCCGCCCCGGCGCCTGCCGCCTGCCGCCGCCGCCTTCCTCCTCCTCCTCCTCCTCCTCCCCGCACCGGGGCCGGGGCCGGGGCCGAGCGGCGGGAGCGCGGGCAGCCTCACCTCCGCCGCCATGACGGGCAGCGCGGGGGCTGCCGGGAGCTTCCGCCGGATTTGGGCCTGCGGGCGCTGGGCGGCCGCCGTCCCGCTCCCCGCGGGCGAGCGCTGAGGGGCGGCGGGGCCGTTCGTGGGCCCGGCTTTAGCTCCCTGAAATCACCGTCCTGCTGCAGGTACAGCTCTCCCCCCTTCCCAGCGGGCTCGCGGGGCGGCCCGCCAAGTAATTCTGGGCGAAAGGTCAGCCCTGGGCTGCGGGGGGGGGCGGGGGTTTCACATGCGGGTCGCATTGACTTTTTTTGCGGTTTTATGTCTGAATTGGTCGCAGAGTGAAAGGGGTGCTGGGCAATTCACTCACTTGGGAAAATGACATGGGAATGGCTTCATGGCTCTGGAGGCACGGCGCGGTCCCGCAGCCTCCTCTGACGCCACGCAGAAGGATGTAAGGCTGCTGCAGAAGTTTCTTGAGTTTTTATCCTGTCTGTGGCCACACGCTTTCACATTTTTGCCAGCCTGGGTACGTGAAGTAGGTAGTCTGGCCCTACAATACAGCTGTGTAGTTGCTAGGGCCAGCACACTTGGTTCCGTGAAACCCTGTGGCTGGCGTTGACAGATGGCTTGTTTCCTCCTGCGGTGTAGGTAGAAATGAGCTATCATTTGGAATTTCATCCTTAGTTTCATGTTAAGCCCTGCTTTGAGCCAGCAAATCCTGGGTTGATTTCCCAGCCTGAGCATTGTTTTGGTTTTTGACATGCAACTTACCAACGCATCAACGTGTTGAAAGCTGCTGGTGTGGTAAGACTGTTAAAGTTAGAGGCATTCCCTATCAAGCTCAGTAGTCAAGAATTATCATTTTTTCCCTTCTTTATTCCAGTTGAATTCGTATCACATAAGTGGAAGTGGCATAGCATCATTGAAGACTGTATAGCACAGCAAAGCAAGAGCAGTGTGGGCAGTACGTTCAGCTGAGTGCACGTGTCTTACTGGTTTATATTTGTGTCCATCTGCAGGTAGGTATGGCTAATTTTCCTTTCTTTCAGCAGGCATTGCTTGGTCAGTTTATACATGAAACTCCTCTGGTTGATGACAGAGAGAGGATGCTCTTACAGGGAGAAATTCCTCAACCTGTGTAGTTTATTTTGAATCAGGATCAAAGGAGTTTATTATTCTATTAATGACATAATTAACTGTCAGTTAATTTACCTACAGTTAATTGAACTATATTTTCAACTTCAATAGGAACAACGCAACAGACATGATACTAGGCACTTACAAAATGTTAATAAATGCCTAAAAATGTTGAAAGAGCCTTCAATATCTAATTCCAAGGGATTGTCTAATTGTAACCTCCCCCCTTCCCACAAGTACAGGTTTGCTCTGACACATTGTCGTGGTCTGTGCTCAGGGGGCAACTGAGCACCACACAGCCACTCACTCCTTCTTACCCCCCAGCGCTGAGAAGGAGAAAATAAGTATAGGCTCAGGATTCAAGATAAGGACAGGGAGGGATAAATCACCTGTTATGGTCACAGGCAAAAGGCAGACTCGTTAGGGGAAGAAAAAAAGAACATAAATTTAATACAGAAACTAACAACAACAACACTTAACAGACAGAGTAGGACAGTGAGAAGCATTACTACATCTTGAAAACACTTTCCCCCACCCCTTCCTTCTTTCTGGTCTCACATTTGCTCCCCGATATCTCTACCTCCTCCCCACAGTGGTGCAGGGGGAAGGAATGGGGGGTGCAGTCAGTGCTGCTGCTACTACCATCATGAAGTTGGGAAAACTTGTGGAACTTTTTCCCTCTGCTCCATCGTGGTCCCGCTCTCACAGGAGACAGTCCTCCACAAACTTTCTGTGACTTGAGTCTCCCCAGAGCCCTTCCTGAGCTGCTCCGGCGTGGGACACCCCCGCATGCTGCAATCCTCCCAGTGCTGAATTACAGCAGTGGGGGCTGCTTCTTCCCACAAGGTTCTGGCCTCCTTCGAACACAGACTCCTTAATTTACTGTGTGGGTCCCCACACAGGCCATTTATCAGTGTCTGCTCCACTGTAGACCTTCATGGGTGGCGGGGGGGGGCCGCCCTGCCATCTCACCACAGGATACAGGGGGGCTTCTGCTCCAACACACCTTCCCCCATTTCCTCCCCTGTTCCTCCCCTGACCTTGGCGTTCACATAGATGTGATGGGCTCAGTTTTGGTGCAGAGGTGGAGCTGACTTAGAGCTGGGGAAGCTTCGAGAAGCTCCTCACAGGGGGTCACCCCTACAGCCTTGCCACCAAAACCCCACCACTGACACAAACCCAGGACACACATACACGCACAGTCCCCTCAGGAGGCGCGAGTCTCGAGCATGATCCCCTCTTCCGCCCCTTCTGTGGGAAACGGTGCTTTTAACTTTTATGTCTCTATGCAATCTGCTAGTCCACAGACCAGTGAGGAAGCTCCCCGCAAGTTCACATACATGCACCCAAGATGTGGGGTGCTACTTTTTGCACCCTTTATTGTTTCTGCACTGGCTGGAGTGGAAGCAGCTCGCGCTGGAGCTGGCTCATGGGGAGGTGGCTCTGCCTGGCCTGGGCAGAGGCCATGGTGCTGTGAGGGCAGCATCTGGCCGTGGCAAGCCACACCGTGCCTGCTGTTCTTTCTGTTGCCCTCGCCCCTCCCGCAGCTCTTGCAAATTTTCATGCTTCTCTTACACATCTTCCCAAGCTGACTCGTTGAAGTCTGTTGGCAATCCCCTGGCTATAATGGTGACGGCTTATCTCTCAGCTATTTGCTTATAGACGGCTTCTGTGCTATGGTGTAGTCCCAGTGGAAAACTGATTATCCTTCTCCCTTTCTCAGGGATGAGAAAGAATGTAGTAATGAAACTCCACTTCATTTTTATTATTTTTCTCCATTTATAGTCAGGCGTTGCCACCTGCTGACAAGAGAACAATTAGAGTGAAAAATAGCATGTGTCTAGGATGAATCTGTATTGCTACAGGGATCTGAGGGTATTTAAACTGTATTTAAACTTCCATATGAATCATCATAATTTGTGTCTCATCAAATTTCTTTGCATTCCTTTTCGAAAAGGAAGATGAAAAATCATTTTGTGGATTGTTTTGGCATATGCATCTTCTGTGCACAGGCACATAAAGGCAGTTGTTTAAATGAATATATTTAAAGGAACTGTTAAGCTAATTTTTAGTATTTTTAGGTAATATAGCGTAATCAATTTAAAGTGAAAACTATAGTGGAAAATGTAGTAGAACAAAATACAACGAAAGCCTTAAAATTTTCTAGTAATTACATTTTTCATGGAATTCATGTATGGTACAGGCACTGTACTCTTAAGAGACTATCACTCAGTTTTACCACTTTTGATTTGCAAGTATGCTTTAAAAATTCTAATAGGAGAAATCTTCCACAATACTGTGGGGAGAAATACCATGCCATATCAATAGAGTGCAGTATTCTTCTTACGTAGTTGAGCTATGTTTGTTTTCCCTTGAGAGGAAAAAGATATGCCTCAAATTACTTAACCACAGGTTTTCATAAATCAGTGTGTGGCTAGGACACTGAATGCTTTCTGTAGCTGAACATGTGTGGGAACAGTAGGTGAAGTACAGAAAACTGGGCCCAGGCATGTGAAAAAATCTGAAGTTGGGAACTGGAAATTATTCAGTTGTTATTCTAGGTACTTGAGTTCTGCTCCATCTCCCTAGCAGCAACAAACTATTGACAGAATATTAATTTGTAATATATGCATGAGAGACATTCTGCATGTCTCTTATTCACTGCTTCTTGAAGTTGTCCTTACAGCTGATGTGTTCTGTCTGTGTCAAAATCTTGAAAGAAAACTTCTTGCATTCAAACTTTCATGGGACAGGTGAGTGGATAAGGATCTGCATCTCATTCATCCTGCTGTTTGCAAGGCTTTGTGAGGGAGTGGCATTTTACACTGCAGCAGATTTCTTTAAGATGCTTTCTTATTTTTAGGAGAAAAAACTCCAAACAGTCAGTTCCGTAGTTGCACTTGTGTAAGAAGCTCCTTTTTGAATTACGAAATGAAAACCAATGTTTATGTTTTAAAATACAGGCATAGTGGACAGTAAAGCGTAAAAGCACTCGGGCAAAAAGTAATGATTTCAGAAAAGAAGAAACTGAGAGTTTTAATTATTTTTCTCTCAGGCATTGTCGTTTGACTTCTCCAGGTCTATGCTTTGTTTTGTTTTCAAATACATTTCAGAAAAGTGACCAAAGCAGTCACTGACTTGAAGTGGAAAATACAACTTACGTAATAAAAACTGTATATCTTTTCGTGAAACTAGTTACTCTTTTGTATTGTTTACACACTAGATTCTTGATACTGGGGATACTGCAATATTACTGCAACAGCAAGTCAGTACAGCACATGTGACTGATACCACAAGTCCTTCGCAACCTCGCCGACAAGGCTTGGTTGTGAGAAATGGCTTCCCTTTGGAGTAGATGCCTCGTTTCCAAGTTAAACACCAATGCTGCTATCCTTTAAAGTATCTCTTTTTAATCTAATAAGCAAAGCAAAATCTTGCTGTTCTACATGCAATAAATTCACTTTTTTTTTTTTTCCCTTCTCTTTTCCTCTGCAGTGTCTTAAAAAAAAAAAAAAAAAAGCGCTCTGTTTTGGGAAATGTGCTGTGATTTAAAAAGGAGGTTTTTGCTTCTCTATGCAACACAAAAGGGGCAGGCAAAAGCCATAGCTGAGGAAATATGGCAGCAAGCAGGTACCCATGGACTTGAAGCTGATATGCACTGTATAAGTGAAATGGACAAGGTGAGATACTCCATGCTGTTTGGAAAAATGGGTATTTAAGAGCTGCATTTTTCTTCATGTCCTTGAGTGGTGGCTGTTAGTAATTGTGAAAGCTGAGCACATGCACCTACCTAAAATACAGCGTCTAGTTTTAAATTTTGTTTCTTATGAAGCAGTAGTTTGGACCAATACTCGCAGAGGCTTAATGGTTTTCTGCCCAAGGTACATCTTGTGATTTTTCTTACTAGAACAATAAATGAATATAGCTTTGATCTCTCTTCTAACAACAGTGCAGTGACTTCTTGAATGCTATTTATGTATGCGGTGGTGAATCAGTTCTGTATTTACCGGTCAGATCTCTTGTTGTTAGAAATCATGCTTGCTTTTTTTTTTTTCCCCTGTTGTTTTGGTGTTGCATTGAGGTCCTGCGTTCTGTTAACTGTGGGCTCCAGCATGACTCTGACCTTTTGGGGGGTCTTCCTGAGTTACATATGCGCTCGCTCCAGTTCACACTGGATACACTCAAGTTATATTCTAGAAAGAAAGAAAAAGCTTGTCTGGAGCAAGGAAATGGGGTTTTATTATTTGTTGTTATCCAAGGGTAAGGATCTGAAAACTGTTAGTGTCTGTCTGTAACTAAAAGCAATATGGACTGTAATTTCCTTCACAAAGTACTTCCACCTGTATATCCTCAAAGGCATACGTTTAAAAAAACCAAACAACACTTGATAGCCTTGTATTTCATATGAGATGAGCAGAAAATAACACCTAAAAGAGTTTTTTTCATGAACTTGAAAATGTGAGAACTTCATAAAGATACTTTAGTTACCTTTTAACAAGTTGCTTTCTTGGGGATATGCTACATGTTGGGTAGCTGGACATCTGCTTTGGAATGAATGTTCACTGAGTGTGTAGCAAAGTTTTACAGAGACTTTTGTGCAGCCAGCAGGGAATGTGAAGATTCTCCTTAGATTCTTCCATTTAATTTCTTCTGCATTTGACACGTTTGGAGATTAGTTTCAGGAAGGTGGCAGGCAGGATATTTCTAGCCCTGTTATTGGCTTGCCACTTGAATAAATCTATTTTGTCAAATTTGGCAAGACGACTCAGAGCTGAGAGTTATTGATGAGGGAGAAAGATGTACTGAATTAAGAATCTGAGAACTGGGCACTGAGGAAGAAAGTAATTTCTGCAGCTTTGTAGATTTCCTCACTTAAGCTTTTTTTTTTTTTAACCCTTTGCTCTAAATAAAGAGAGCTTCTAGAAGCTTAAGTGTAATTGGGGAAGGGAAGGCAGGGCAGTGTAATGTACTGGAGCGAGAGCTTGCTTGAATTTGGTGGAACCTCTCCTGAAGCCCTTTGGGCATCTTAGATCTGCGCGTTTATTCCACTACATGCACAGTTCAGAGCGGGGGGTGTGTATGCTTTAGGTGAGGAAGTAAGAGGTTTCTATTTTGTCCACATTTTTCAGTTAGAAAACCTGTCATTATGCAGCTCTTGGATATTTTTCCAGCCTTGTCACCGCTTAAAAGGATTGCTTTGATGTTCTGTGCGTGAAATAGGTGGCTACAGTCAATAGTCAGAATGTGATCCCATTGCCACACATAAACGAATGGTCAAATACTGTTCAAGCCTCAGAAACACTGGCTGTTTCCAATGAGTGTGTCTCACCTACACTCACGTAGGTGAGAAAAAGTTATAAATCTTTGGTTGGTTACTGTGATTGCTTTCTATGCTTGATGAAGGACTGAAATGAAGTGGAAGTGAGGTAGGAGCAGTAAAATAGGAGGCTAAATGGAGATCATCTTGGGTCACAGTGCATGTAGTCAGCCTTGGATGAGTTCCCTGGGCAAGCACATTCGTCATGTTACATATTGCTCCGGATGAGACATATCTGGGTGTCTGATCCCGTCCTCTTCCTTCAGCAATCACTCACAGCTTGAGCAGGCTACTCGCTGCTGTCGTGTGGCCTTGCTGTCCTCAGCGGAGGAGTGCTTTTGAGGGAAAGAGAAGGGGACAAAGATGTAACACTAATGATACAGGGAGAAGTGGAAGGTAGAGTAAAAAGCAGTGTAGTTGTGTAAGGTACTTGTTGGTCTAGTGATGTATCAGACATCCCAGTAATTAACACAGATTAATGAAGGACCTCTGTCACCAAACATTTGGCTTCCAAAAGGTCCTTAAGTTTGCAGAGGAGAATGTGCAGTGGAGCAAGCAAGAATTTACTGAACTAACCACACCTCTGTTCTAATGCACCACTTTTTACTTTCTGAGCTTGTATCTTTTTTTGAATTTTGTGGAACACAGTTTAGTGTAAATTTTTATGTGATACCAGTAGACCCTTGCCTTTTTTACTTGAAGAATTTGCTCTTATTTGTAAACGCAGTCGTCACCTGTGACAATGCTGTGGAAGTTTTGAAAATCTGGGTTACTGCAACAGGACCCGTAAGGCCTTTTTTTGCATAACCTACAGCTTTGATTTTGAAAGTCTCCAGAATTTGTGTGTACTTGGAGTTTGCCTGCACTTGTAAAAGACAAAACCTCTGTTTGAAACATCCCTGGACCACAACTCACCGAAGTCTGGCGAAGTACTTGGGGAATATCCTTGCGTGCTTACTCTCTTTGCTTCTGCTTCTCTAGGCACCTGATATTGGCCACAGTCAGAGGCAGGACATGGTTCCAGATGGTAATTGGAGTTGCTCTGTGCAGCTGCTTTTAGGTTCTTCAGGAAGGTTTTGGAAAAAATGACAACAGCAAAACCCCCTGACAATCTGTTTCTTTGTATTCCTGACCTTTTTGGAGTGGAGGTGTAAGGGGTAACTTTTTACATGGCTTGAGGAGGGGATGAGGCTCGAGTGATTTATTGAGTGAAGAGTTTAGAACATAACTCCTCAAACTCTGAAGTTTCGAATTACAAGCCTGAAACTACTTGAAATGAAACATAGCCTCTCTTGCAATCTTTATTTATATTTTCTCATAACCGTACTATTTTATTCAACTTGGAATGCTGGGAGAGAGTTTGAACTGAAACCTACAGGGAGCAGTAAAAGGAGCTTGGGTTGCTTATTATGGCAAAAAGGAGGCTAAGGAGTGACCTCATAGCAGTGTACTTGAGCCAAACTCTTCTTGGCAGCAGCAGACTGTCTAACAGGAGGCAAAATCCACTGACTGCAGCCTGATGCACTCAGGTTTGACAGTAGTGGAGAAGCTCTTCTGGATGGACGGGGCTGCCCGGAACAGCGGAGTCTCTCAGCCAGAGTCATAGCTGGGCTAATGCAGCGCTGGCAGCTGGTCCCGCCGGGAGCTTGGCGTGGGACCGGCTGGCCTCCAGAGCTCACTCCCAACCGAGGTGTCTCCCTGTGATTCAGAACCTGTAGGCCATGGCGGGGCTGTGGGCGCGCTGGCGGAAAGCTGGGTCGTCAGAGGGACAGAGGGCTTTGTACCCGGGCAGTCAAATGGCTGCGCGAGACCCGCGTTTACGGAACTGCCTCCCAATCCCAGATACAGGCAGTTCTTGCCGGCCTGGTGTAATGGGAGCAGCCCCCATAAAGCCATGGGAAATGGGGGAGATTGGTGTTAGCAAAGGAGAGAAATTAGCTGGGGCCTGGGGGAACGGGCCAGAATGAATCACACCGTAGAGCACAGCGACTGACTATTTCTTTCCAGAGCTACCCTAGCTCCCCCAAGGCACAGGGGTTCTTTTGCGGCAAAGACAGATGTACCATGGCAGTTACCAGATCCCTAAGCTCCCTCATGGAGCTTGAAAACGATCCCGTTTGTACAGCCACGTCCCAGTTATCTGCGTGAAATTATTAGGATTACGCCTGTGTGATTGTGACTGTATATGTAACAATCCTTTTTCCACTCGACAGAGCAAATGCTGGAGCAGCTGTGTGTTTAGGCTCCGTGAGTGCAGCTGTGACGCGGGCTTTGCGTGTGCACTAGCCTGCTCAGAATGGTGCCCCTTGGTGTTTGGGGGGGGTCACGGGCCAGTTCAAGTTGGAAGGGAATTCGGGAGGTTATCTCGCATCGGGGCCAGCTGAGGTCAGAGCAGGTTCCTCAGGGCTTTACCCAATCTGGTCTTGAAAACTCCAACCGAGATTATGAGTTCCATCCCCAAAGTGACTTTTAATTACTTGAAAAACCTTCTCTACTTGAATACAGGTAAAATGAGCTTAAACATTTCTCTGTGTACCTGTGGGAAAAGGATGGGTGAACGGTAACATCCAAGCCCACAAATAAGTATCAGGTGGCACCTTGTAACTTACTTGCTCTGTTACTTGCAGTATAACCTGGAAACAGAAAAGGATCCTGTAGTTATTGTTATTTCCACTACCGGTACTGGAGACCCACCAGACACTGCCCGCAAGTTCGTGAAGAAAATTCAAGACAGGACCTTACCACCTGATCATTTCTCACACCTTCAGTATGGATTGCTAGGTGATTTAATATTTTCTGTATTATTGCAGTACTAGTCTGTCAGTGAGTAATTTTTCTATTTTTCACTTGTGAATAGATTTTGGGGGGTTTTTTAAGTGCTTATAAAACATTTATTTTTATAACGTGAACAGCTTTTTTGTGTAATGTCCTTTATGAGCAATAGAGGAAGAATGTCACAAAAATGAGCTGAATGTAAGCTACCAATTTAATTTTTTTATAGTTTAATTTTCTTTGCATAAACAACATATGATACAAGCTATCTATAATTGTTGAAGTTTTAATTTCATGTCAAGTCTCTATGGACTAGATGACTTTCCTTGTCTTTGTAAGGAATTGGACATTTTTCTACACAGGGGGAAAGGCAGTTTAAATGTTCTTAAAAAAATAAGTTTTTAAAATCATCCCATCCCTTTAAATTTGCAATAATTTTTTAGATTTTGAATGTCATGCCCATCAATAGAAGGAGTGTAACTTCAGCTTAAAGATTGTTATGCAAAATACAGATTGGGCAAAATGCATCTGCTATAAGTTGAGCTGGTGGTAAGGTCAGTTTCTTGATTTTTCAGGTTGTGTATAAACAAGCTCCAGAAACTTTTATTTGAACCTGGGTTATCTTTGCCTGACAGGTTTAAATTCATAGGTAGGAGAGAGAAAACTTCTAAATTTCTAGTGAGGAAAGTGCCTGCTGGAAGGAAATTTCTAGCGAATATATAATGTGGAAGTCTGAGATATATGGCTCCTAGTCATGTAATGTTTTGAGAAGACGTTCCAATGTTGCCTAGTTACACGTTCCAGTTTGTGAAAAGGTTAGGGTTTTTTACAGCTGACTGAATGCATGTATGCATATATGAAGATAAGCATTGTATTGATATTGATTTTTGTTGTAGCAGATATTATAGTAACTAAGTTATTACATGTTTTATGATTCTAGTCTAAAAAGTTATCAGTCTTAAAATATTCATGGTATCCATTTCAGCTTGTCCAGCGAAGTGTTCGCTCCAAGTGCCATACTTGAGAGGCAGCAGAAATCTTAAAAAAAAAAAAAAAATTAGAAAAAGATAAAAAAGGCTGTTATAAAGGAGAAAGGAGTAGTCCATTGTTAGGCAGGGATAATAAGGATCCAGCGGTTTGAAACTGCATACAAGATAAGGTCAGGCTGTGAAAAATTGTGCCAGTTAGTGTAGTGAAACAGTGGTGTGGATTACTTCCAGAACTGGTGAAGCCTACCTAAGCCGTGGTCTTTGGGAGTGTTAGGCAAGCATCTCTTAAGGATGAGGTGCGTGTGGTTGGTCTCTTAGAATCTTGGGTTCCTCCATGAACGTACCTCCCCAGGACAGCGGCTGTTCACCTGGGGACAGAGTGTCTGCTTTTAACGGAACGTCACAGCTGTTAAAGGGCAGAAGACCCAGTGCAGTGAAAATGAGATCTACAAAGAAATCTCTGATTCCTGGGGAGGAAGATGTTGGACCAGATTCCCTTATACACATTTTCCTACATTTCTTACTTCATATTGTTTAAAATCACTCCTATGTTTGATTTTTTTTTTTTTCAAGGTTCCAACATGTTTGAATTACATTTAATACTTTCTCCCTTATTTTGTTGACATATATTAACATTTTTAACCTGAAAGTGAGGCAATTTCTTTCGGTAATTCGCATACAGTTTCAGCTACACTCTTTTTAATTATTTCAGTTCCTTACATTTCTCCTGTATTTTTTAAAAGTTTTGTATTTTTTAAAAGTCTCAAACAAAAGCAACATTCTTCTGAAATCTGAAATACTGAAAGTGAAGTGTTTTCAGAGTGTGTCTGGCATTTGTGAAGGAGGAACCACATTTTCATCTCTGCTTTGGGACAAAACCAATTTTTTTTAAAGGTCATAAAAGTGTCCTGGTAATATGCACTTTCCTATATCAGATTCTTCTGTTTGCTTGCAAGAAAATCCTCTGTTCTCTTTGCAGACCTTTGTGTAGCCTGGGTGGCTGGCTGGTTGACATGATTCCTCTTTCCTTGAATTTCCTAGGTCTGGGGGATTCAGAGTACACGTTCTTTTGCAATGGTGGAAAGACAGTAGACCAACGACTGCAAGAACTTGGTGCCCAGCACTTCTACGCCACAGGATTAGCAGATGACTGTGTAGGGTAAGAGCTGAATGAATTTGGATTTTATTTTTTCAGGATGCAATGATTACATGCGAATTTGGCTAAATGTTCTGACCTCTTTGAAATCAGTTGAACCTGAATACTCAGCAGCTCACAGGAGTGAGTCCTGTCTGAGCACAGTATGCCTTTTCAATCTCAATTGCTATTAAATAAAACTTCATTTTTAAAGTGTGAAATACTTGGAACAATGGAGGGTATTTAGCAGTTTAAGAAATAAGGTAATTCAGAATAAGTGGAGGGTGTTTAAAAATGTAGTCTGTTTACTGAAGCAAATAGAAATAAATCCTGTTCCCAGTATGTGTGGTTCTAGGTAATAGGATCCCTTTCTACAGACACATCAGACTTTCATCCAAGCTTACATCTTGCAGTAGAGCTGCTTTAAGCAAACCCTACAATTTTTTTTCTCTTCCATAAAACATGCTTTTTTTCTTTCTTTTTTTTTTTTTTTTTTTTCTGATCACTGTAGAGGGTTTATGTAAGAAGGCTTTTTTGACTGCTGTAAAGGAATCATGTAAGCAAACAACTCCCTTCCTGTTCTGTTGCTCTTTCTGCCCAGTAGGCTGCAGTCTTGGTTTATTTATTTTGAACTGCAAATGATATCGGTTCTGTGTGTGATGATGCAAGACAGTTGAATATAAACATTGCCATAACTATAAAACTTATATCTTGTGTTCTAAAATAATAAAAATAGAATACTAGGGTAAGCTATTGATGTTGCTGTTTCACAATGAAAAGTTGCATATTTTGCTACCATCCCTTCCACTTCCTGTCATAAAGTTCAGCGTAAGAAAATTAAAATGAGAAACTGGAAGAGCAAGGCTGTTATACACTTTAGACTCCATAAATTTACATAGTGGAATAACTAAATGAAAATATTTTTTTAACAGAAAAGTCATCTTGGTAGCAGCTGCAGATATATATTAAAAATGGAAAATGAATAGTGTTTTTAGCTTTTGGGGTCTTTTCATTATTTGTAAATTAACAGTCCAGTAAATCACACTAATTCATTCATCTCCTTTTTTTTTTGGTCCCTTCCCAGTTTGGAAGTAGTGGTTGATCCTTGGATTGATGGACTTTGGCCTGCCCTCGAGGAGTCGTTTCTATTGCAGAAAGAAGAAGCCATGAGCAGTGTTGTCACTGCTGTTCCCAGCTCGCTCTCTGCAGCCCCGCATCTTGTGCAGGAACTAAACTTAAGCTCAGAAGTACAGAACTTGAAACTAGAAGCTGAAGGAGTGAGGAGTTCTGGTGTTCTGTCACAAAAGTTGGTTGACAGCAATCTTGTGGCTTCAGCTAGAGACACCGAACCTTCACTTGTTCATTCTGTCCCTCCTGTCTCTCAGTCTGCTCTTAATATTCCTGCCTTGCCCCCAGAATACATAGAGGTGCAGTTTCAGGACACCCATGGTGAGGTAAGGACTTCTCTTTGAATGATGGAAGCCTCCAAGTCTGTTAGGAGCCTGAGTGTACAGTCCTACACACAGCTTAAAAGAGCAGGTGGCTACCTACGTAAGGGAGATGCGTCCCTGAAAGCAGGTTTCCAAATTGTGAGTGAAAGGTCCATTTATATTGTGAAAAAGTAGTTACCACCATGTGAGTTATAGACACTTATGTCAAGGTATAATTTAGCTAAATAGTAATTGGGCATTGCAGTGCCAGGAATGGAAGAATTAAAATCCTCAGTGACTTACGTTGGGACAGTGAAAGCATCTTCCTGTAGTAAGAATATAGTCCAATTTCTGTTCAGATTTTTAGTACTTTCAGAATGTCTTAAGAGAGTGTAAGATTGCTCGAAATCTTGCTGCTTATTTAATAATAGAGGAACTTGTAATTGTAAAAACATGGTCATACTTTTACTATTGGAGGTTGGTCAGTCGGGGGCATCTGTCCCGGCTGGGTCCCCTCCCAACCCCTCGTGCCCCCCCAGCCCGCTCGCTGCTGGGGTGGGGTGAGGAGCAGAGCAGGCCTTGAGGCTGTGCAAGCAAACAAAAAACATCCCTGTGTTGTCAACACTGTTTTCAGCACAAATCCAAAACATAGCCTTATACTGGCTACTGTGAAGAAAATTAACTCTACACCAGCCAAAACTAGCACAGGTTAAAAGAGCCCATTTTCTTATTTTAAAGTCATAGCATACATTCAGGCTGTCTCTGAAATAATTGATCAGGTTCTAATATTGATACCTTAACTGTTCTACAAATAATTAAAAAGTAAATTTTTCTTTCAAACAGCAAATTGGAAAACCTTAATCTGCTGATCTGGAATTCAGTGGCAGATTAAAGATTATAGCCCAGTTTTCAGATACAAAGATGGATAGTTGTCTTGAGCTTTGGGAAGAATCAAATGCAGGTTTGGTTTTTTTGCTTTGGCTCTATGTTTGACATAGTTGGCTAGACCTGGTCAACGAGTAGGTCCCATGTGTCGTACTTTTAAAAACAAACATGACCCTGCAATTCATGTCCTTTTCCAGTATCTCACATTGCAACAACCATGGGTATTTTTTGCCAAGCACAGCTGAAGGTGGCATGTTTAGAAATGCATCAGTTTGAGATTTGTATATTGCCAAAATGGACCGCTTGCTCTTTAGAGAAGTCTGGGTACACAGTCTCTCTGGTTATTTCTGTGATCTGTGTCCTGGGCTGTTGAGTCTCAGGGTTGAATTAACAAGCTGCTGCTTGTTAGTAGCACAGCAGTAATGGTCTGCGTCTTAAGCCTTTGTGATAAGCCTAAGGTAATGCAATTTAGCTTGAATCTTCATCTCCTTATGCCTTGAACTTGACTGAGAAGGAATATGAATGTAGGCAGTTGTCACAGTCCAGCTGATGCCTAATAACTTGATATGGCCCAAGCTGTTAATCACCATGTCAAAAATTTAAGAGAATAATAAAACTTCTAACTGTTGGTCTCAAGTGATTCTCTTGTCTACTTTTTTTTTTTTTTTTTTTAAATAGGAAATCTTCACATCAACCAATATTCTCTTATTGGTAGAATAATTCCTTTCCATTTGACACAGTATTGTTGGGAACATTTGGTATCTCTCTCATCTCTTCATTTTTGTCTATATTGACCTCAAATTAAGCTTGCTGACAGTAGTGATGGAAGAATGAGGGCTGTAGTGTGATCTTCAAGTGACAGTCTTTGGCAGGAATAGTCTGGAATTACTCTTGATGCCCATTAACAATTCCTGGGGCACATTTTCACCTGTGTAGGAATGTTGTGGCATAACATGATGCTGTTTTGGAGTGTGGAGTTTGCTGATGAGCTCTAAATTTAACGGTAGTTTTTCAAATTCCTCTTATAAATTGCCTGTAATTATAGCCCCATCTGCACCCCAAAGTCTTAAACTGTAAATCTGCAATGGTGTTTTAAAATAGCTTCTGTTCTTACTTTTTATGCCTGTTCTGTACACCTAGTAAGCCTTTAATTAGGCAGGAGTTTTTGGGGTTTTAACATAAATGCCATTCTCTAATTGGCTATTTTCAAGGCAGCTCTTGAAAAAGGGAAACAGCTAGCTGCAGTTGATAGTCGTTTAGGCCCATTAGACTGTTCAAGCCTACTGACTTTTTATGGTTGAATATATGCATGTTACTGCTTAGATGTGATTTTTTTTAAAATGTAAAGCAAAACACTCTATCTATATAGAAGATTAATGGCTTTCCTCATTGTTTTGAATTGTTTTCTAATACTGTTTCCAAAAAATTGTGCCAACATTAATTCCTGTATGTCATAGTAAGCTGTCATGCATTTTTAGTCTAAGTTTTCAAGCCTTCTTTTTCAGAATCCACGTCTGTCCTCACTGATTTCAGAGGGAAGAATCTTTGAAGTGCCAGTTACAAAAGCAGTTCAGCTCACTAGAGAAGATGCGATAAAAACTGCATTGCTCTTAGAACTTGATATTGCAGTAAGTTAGTGATGGCTTTTTCTTTAGTGGGTTAAAATAAAGGGTGAAATGCATGTGTGTTATGTATAATACGTAACTGGGGGAAAATTATTAATTTGACCGTTTAAAAAGAAAAATAATTCCCTATACAACAGTATGTCAATTTAGGCTGATCCATTTTGTACATGCAAAGCTTCATTTGTTAACTGAAAGGCATGACTCCATGGAAGTCAGAGCAGAAGTAAAGTGTCAAATTAATTTCCTCGTTGTTCCATGGATATTGTATTGACTGAAATACCTTTTGGAAGAGAATTTGCAGTGGAGAAGGGCGGGCAGGGAATATTGAAAATGAATGATCATTCAGTATGTAAGTATAAAACGTAGAAGATATTCAGAAACTGTATAGTAAATTGTGACTATTCTTTGTGGTAGGTAATCTGTACAACTAACAATTTGACTAGTATGGTCAAGTGATAAGAATTGCTGGCTCTGGAGCACTGTTTCTGCCTCTGGCATTCATTTGATCCGAGTTGTTAACATACCCAAAATGTCAACCTCTGTTACCCTAGATGTAAAACCTGGTTTAGTTTATTCGGGAAAGATCATATTTTGTATATTGGTTTGAAGATGAAAGGCAGAGAATGCTCAATATTACTTTACAAGAAATCTTTAAAAGGAAAATACGTTGCTTTTGAGCGGTTTTCCAAATTTGGAGAATTATGCCTTTGGGATGTTGTGCTTTTGACAGTAACTTTTAATGGACTCTGTTAGCCTAATCTGTGTCAGTTTCCGTGGGGTATCTTTAAATCTCAGTTATGAATAGTCTACTAAAATTCTGAGCGAGTGAGTGTCTGAGATGACATGTTTTTTTGCACACAGTTGTATGTATACATGTATCCTGTGCACACTGAAAACTTTTGAACATTTTATGCCTTTTTGCCTCGCATTCTCAACAGCCTGCGTGTGCAGTCACCTTGCCTGATGCATAAGGGAAACATAACGATGCAGGTGTAATTCTATATGTTTCTGTAACAGACAGAAGCTTCAGTAGGGTTTTAGCAGTTGGACACAAGAACTTCAGCCAGCTACGTAGAATCTAGGTCTTAAGGTCTGAGACACCTTTTGATTTTCACTGTGCTCCTCCCTCGATGTTTTTTAGCTCCAGAAAAATAAAAACAGTTGGGGTCATTTCAGCCACAGCTCATCAAATAGTTTAACCAGCAGATTTTCTTTTTGTGATAATGTGTCTCTATACAAACTTACATTAATTATGAGGACTTAATTTCTCTGCTCTTCTCAAGCCAGAAAACAAAGTACATCGATAATTAATGATCTGGACTGATTATATAATACATCCTTCTGTTTAGACTGCTCAGCAGCTCTTATTAAAGAGTGTCCAAATGTTTAAACCAGATAAAGAAAGATTTTTCTAATTGGTAAGGTTGAACCAGAAAAGAAAAGATGAGTATTTAGTTTCTGATGTGATCCAAACAGTGAATTGCTAGTACAGAGTGAAAGAACATATGCCTATATGTGACTGTGATAGTAGGAAGATTGCTGCTGTTAGGAATGGCAATGCTCTTGGCCTTGGTTTGTGATGCAATTTAATAGAAATTAACTCATATTTTAAAACAGGATACAGTCTTTGACTACCAACCTGGAGACGCCTTCCATGTAATGTGTCCCAACAATGTCAATGAGGTAGAAGAACTCCTTCAAATCTTGGGACTTTCTGAAAAAGGAGAGTACTTCGTTTGCATAAAGGTTAAGCAGGGCACTAAAAAGAAAGGTATGGTGTGATGCACTGGTCATGAACAAATACTCCTTTCTGTGTTGGTAGTAGCTGGTGTGCACACTGGGGACACAGCTGTCATTTCATCAAGGTGTGTTGGAAGTCACGGAGATCTGTTAAGAAAGAGAGGACACATAGAATGCTGCTGCTGCTTTTGCTATAGATGAGTTAGCTTCTGACTGTGAGCTTGAGCCTGCAGGTTCAGGGTATGCCCGTGTGCTGCCAGCTGGACCTGTGAGAACTTCTCTCCACTTGCCTTGAAATTGGTGTCTTAATGGTGCCGCTGAGTTGTGCCTTTAGTTCTGCAGGGTGGGGGAGGGCTCTTTGTTGTTCCAGTCTGTGGGTAAATCAGCTCCCATGGTGAGATTCCCTGCATCACTGAGAGCAACAAAAGTTGTCCCTTATATATGAGATGTAAATGGATGCCTGTTCTTCTTTTTGGCAAGTACTCCCTTGTTGATGAGGTGAGTTTACATGACAGGCCATGTTGTAACATATCATGTGGGATGTCCAGGCCCAGCTGATCCCCATCCTTGACCCCTACTCCAGTATCTAACCTCTGCTGGGAAGGGGTCACCACTTAGGTACAGTGCAGAGCCAGTATCAGTTACAACCTGGTCCCTGGGCTGGGGGTGCTCTGGCTATTATCTAGCCCCACTGTGCTGAACTCCCTCCTGTGCACCCCCCCCCCTCTTGGGGAACCCCTGTTGTCCTTGTTCCTCTGCTACAACCCCCTCCAGACACACCTGCTTCTTCCCAAAGGAAAAAAAAAAAAAAACACGCCAAAAGCATCCCAAGAGGGTCCCAGCTTTGTAACAATATCCCTTTGGACCAGGGCTGGTCCTGAGCACCCTCAAGCTCAAGGCAGCGTCGGCTCGTCCAGGCCCCAACAACCATGCACAGGCAAGCAGCAAGAGATGGGATATGTGGGGGGATTTCACTGGTATGGCACTTCTACTCTTTACAGATTTTACAGAGTCAAGCACGTTTGCAAAGGGAGCAATTGCAGCAATTCGCTACACCCTTTATGCTGGCTTTTTATGCTGACTGTGTAAAATTTGAATCTCTCTGTAAGTTAAAGACAGTGTCAACAGCACGTTCAACGTGTAGGTCTCCTTGCATAGGCACAGAGAGGTGCTCTTTCCTTCCTGCCTACAGTCGCTCCCTTTCTTCGGCCATACTGATGTTGGAAGGACACAAAGCTGCCCTAACAGGGCACTAAAGTGCTCTGCCACTGATGAACTCTTCCCGTGTGGAACAGAGCCTGTATAGCCAAGTGAACGTAGCTTAGCCCTTTGATTGTTCTTGTATACCGAAAAAAAAAAAAGTCCTTCCGAGGCAAAGTTGGTGAAATAATTGAGTGAATACCTCTGCTCTCATCCCATGTGTATATAATCCAGGTTATTGCACCTCTGGCTGCCTAATGTAGCACTAAGCAAGGAAAAAAGGTGACACTGTGAGTGAGGCAGCATTTTGCCCTGTCTTGTACGTAAAGTGGCATGCCTGTTTATGAATCCTCATGAATGATAACAGAAAAGGAGATCATAGCTCTGGGTGGCCGCACATAGACTCAAGGTTCTTGGTTCTGTTCTTGAGTCTTCTGGGTGGCCCACAGCAACCCGTGCTGACTTTTTGCACTTGCTTTGGGTACTTGGCCAGGACCTAACAGGTTGCTGCTGGTCCATGAATCTCCAGTCATGGCTTGTACACTGACTTCCATCCGCTGCAGTTATGAAGGTAAATGGCTTAGGAACAAACCCAAATTTATTTCTTTGGAAACGTGCTGGTGAGCAAAGACTCATTAAGTTACTGTAACTTAATTACTTGTTGCTGCCAGTCTCCACTGAAGAATTGAGCTCTGTAATGCAGCTTTGCAGTTCACAGCAATGTTCCAGAGTTGCTTTCCTTTTGAGATGCTTGTCTTTTAACCGCATTCACATTTCTGAGGAATGTGTAATTGTTGCTACAAACTGTTATGGTTGTGGGTTTACTGAAGGAAGAGAGCTGAAAACTCTGGGAGAAGAGAAGAGCATGAACAGCAGGCTGTGCCCCTGCTGCATCTTCAAGATTTACCAGGAATTCCACTGAATTTTGTTCACAACCCCTCTTTGTTCTGTCTATGAATTATTTGATGAAGTAGATGAGATCACTTAAGAGGACTAAACAGAAATTTTTTGCAGTCTGGTACAAAGTCTGTTGTTCAAATACTGGATGTCTGTAGTTGGTTTTTTTTTATTGTATGTACAAGCACCCTGAAAAGAGGATTAAGTACTTCTTGTAACATGCTGTCAGCATGTTCAAGAAAAGGAAGTTTATATAAATGTGAAAATGGGTGCTTCTTTCCTGCATTATATTTATGCCAAGCCTCTCATCTTCTAAAAGTAAATTTTGTTCTTTGTAGCAAGGGTTCAGTCAAGTAATGATGATACAAAGAGGTAATTTAGCAAGTTATATAGGTATATTCTTGGAGCAAGAATTCTGTAGTAATAAAGGACTCTTGAGCATGGAAAGAAGCATAGTAAGAATCAGTAGCTACCTGTCAAAGCCAAGGAACCTTGTCAGGAGAAATCCCAACATGCAAGTTGGATCTGTAAGGAAATAATTTGGGACCTGCAGAGCTTATTAAAGGTGTTTTGTCCCATAAATGCTCTTATACTGCTTTTGGGGTTAATTTAGAATAGCTGCTTTAGCATGACGTACATGTCATGAAGCTGATAAGCCTGACTGCACCCTGGCTGATGTTTTGTTTCATTTTTTTTCTCCCACTGAACTAGGAGCAGCTCGTCCACAACATATCCCTGAAAGAAGCACTCTGAAGTTCATCCTAACCTGGTGCCTGGAAATAAGAGCAATTCCCAAAAAGGTGTTTATGTGTTTGTACTTTTAAAGAGAAATCCCTAGGAATTCCGTGCTGTATGGGTTCTTACAGATCTATTCTTGATTCATGTGCAGTTACCATGTTTCTTGCCAAATAAGGATTGTCACTTTGTATGCTGCTGTTTGTACTTTATTCTGAGAAATTTTACTCTGGTACTTTATCTGGCAAACTACGAGATACTGAAATTTCTATTCCCACTCTGTAGTATCTTGATTCATAACTAGTCTGGAAGTAAATAGAAAAGTATTAGGTGTTTGGTGCCAGGTAACTGGGAGGCTGGCTGAACCTGTTCTCATAGGCATTTTAGAGAAGACATTCATTCTAATCAGAGGGAACCATATCTGTCAAGTTCTGCTGCTGAAAATACACATATTGCTCTATGCAAACATATGTGCCACGATGGCTTTTACGCTGTTTGAAAGCTTTTCTTTCGCATTTCAGTAACCTGGCAAAATTCAGAGAAAGATTTTTGCCTGTGTAGTATTTGTTCTCGCAGCATGTGAATATTATTTTCCTTTCATTCTGTGCCTGCAAAAAACTGAAAGCTTGAAACTGGGAATGCACGTGTATTTCTGATATTGTCAAAACGCATTTTAAAGATAACTTTGTATGAAGGATGAAGCTGAACAGTTGTGTTGGTTGGGTCTCTGAGGGGAATCAGTTTGTGGAAGGACCGTTGCACTCAATTTAGTGGATTTTTGCAGCAGAAGAGAAGGGAATCTTCCAATTGTTTCAACCTTTTCAAAACCGCAGTTAACAGTGTTGAAAATTTGTCTTGACAATAAGAGTAGGCAGAGAGCACTGGCTGGGGAATGTCACCCAAGCCAGTTTTTATAACCCATCTACTTTATTAGCTGTTCAGTGTAGAAGGGACTTTATGTAACTCCATACTGAAAACTATTGTCTGGAAGCTCAGTGTCTGAGCACACTCCAATTACTTTCCAAGTATTTTTTTTCTGTAGAATGTGTCATCTGATTGCACTTGGTGTTTTGGATCACTTTTCTTTTATGCACTTATGTGTTTATTTCCACCTTGCTTTTGGAAAAAACCTTGTAAGTAGCTACATCTGATTTTTACTTTACCTTACAATGCTCAATTTAATTTTCCCTTAAGAGAAGCTTGCGGTACCATTATATAGGCATAAAGTATGAAATAAAACACCACAGTGACATTTACATGACTCATTAAATACCATACTTTATTTACAGTAATACCTCTTCTAAGGCTTTTTATTTTTCCTTCCCTGGCTTCTGTAACTTAGCAAATGGTGTTTTGTCTTGAATTAATTTGTGTTATGGAGCTGTTTACTTAACTAAAGTGCAAATACATAAATAAGAAAGTCTTTCATAAATTTGGTATTTTTCAGGGAGTGGGTTGTGCCTGTTTATTTGTCTCTCCCCAGCTCAGGCTGAGTAGGTTTTTCTGATGTTTTTTCATAGTAGGTGGAAGTGGATTTTTCATAGTAGGTGAAAGTGTGCATTGGGAAATAAATTGTATTATCCATTAACCTGTCAGGTGACTGCTTCCTGTCCCCAGGCAGCCCAAGTTTTTCCCAGTTTTATGACCATTTTCCCAAATGGACAAGTTTTTTTTACCCCTCACTCTTACTTTCTTCCCCACAGGCGTTTTTGCGAGCTCTGGTAGAATGTACCAGTGATGCGGGAGAAAAACGGAGGCTTCAAGAACTTTGCAGCAGACAAGGAGCCTCTGATTACACACGCTTTATTAGAGATTCTCATGTTTGCTTGCTGGATTTACTTCATGCTTTTCCAAGCTGCAAGCCTTCACTTAACCTGTTAATTGGTAAGTGACTGATTCGGGTTGAATTAGATTTGGTTTCTGAAAGTGCATCAGACTAAATGCTCAATTTCCCAAGAAAGGGAAATAACTGCTCAGAAAATTGCTTTAGAAATAGTGTAGTATCCATAGTGATCGAACGAAACCTGTGGTTGGGGAACAAAGTCCTGTTCTCCAGTTTGTAGTCTTTGGGCTTCATTCTGCAAACACTTGGGTACATACCTGTGCTTCAGTTGACTCTGGACAGCCCCTGTGCAGAAAAAATAAGTGCAGGGTGTTCGCCGGATTGGGGCCTTTAAGAAACAGTTCATCAACTGCTTACAATTTAAAAAGATGTTTTTACAACTCCTGATTTCCCTGCCTACATGTGATTTGCTTGCACTTTTACCTGTTAAAACTGAAAGCTTTTCCCAGTACATTTGTACTTATGTAATGTCCAACACATTTACTGGGTTCCTTATATAAAACATTGAAGGAATGAGACTCCAACTGTAACCATCTCAAATACATCTGAAAATACTGGCAGTTATTTTCCAGATTAAAAAAAAATAATTTCTTAATAAGCTTCATTATATTAATAAAAACATGGCGTTTTATGTTCTTGCAATCATCTTCTCCGTGACTACCCCAAATCTCTCCTTCTTAGTACACTTTGGGGATTTAAAAAAGCAAATACAAGCTCTACCCTACTTTATACAAATACACGAATTTTCACAGTGAAGGCAAGAACACTTAGCTTTTCAAAGGGGGTATGGAACATGCTGTAGCAACTGAACTGAATAAAACGAAATTTTGGAACTTTTTGAAAATTGTTCCCCCAGGGAAGTGATGTGCTGAATGGGCTTAGTGCCATCTTTAAGTGATTTCACTGAACTAGCTCTTCTTGTCTCTGACTTGCAACTATCTTACGCAGCAGAGCATCTTTAAAGTATGTCAGGGGGTCCATGTGCTGTGTGGAACCTCTGCAAAAGGGCAGGACGTTTGGCGAAACAGCTGAAAACCAGTTAAACTGGGTGTTACCCTGTTACTCCACTGTATGTTTTCTGGAATTTGCTATGCCCAGTTTTTCTGGGATTGCTCACTTACTGTCACAGTTCCACACCACAGTGTTCACTTAGCAACATGTCTGCCTTCTTTTAATATGCCCTTCTCCTCAGCCAAAATGTGCACTCTGCATGCAGGTCATTCCTTCGAAGGCACCAGGGAGTTTGACTTTTTATGTATACATATGTACACACATAGATATAAACGTGTATGTGTGAAATATGTAGTGGGTTTATAATTGAAAAAAAAATGCCCAGTAAACTCCTGTCTCTGGGTTTTTAGCTGTGATTTGAAAACTTTGCATAGGCACTCGTAGCTGTTCGAAATTGAACTGGCACATCTGCTTCTAGGACACTATATATAGGAAGCTTTCAATCAAACAATTCCTATTCTGAGAGCTTTTGAGCTCTTAGATGAAAAGTGGGGAAAATTAAATTCCAGGATTCACCTTGTCCACTAGCTACTGGCACTTCTTCTGTGCACCTTACAGTTGTTTTTAATTGACCAAGAACCCTATAAATTAACTGTTGTGGCCTCATTTTTTATAGGGTGTCTAACAGACATTGCCCAAAATGTAAAAAACATTCAAAATAGAGTTCAAAACTTAATAGCTTGTTTCTGAACCACAAACACTGAATGTTAATAAAGTAAAATTACAGGGAAATTGTAATATGCTTGTAATATGTTGTAGTGTAAATACTCATTAGTGAATCAAATAGTGATCCTTTTTTTTTTTTATTTATTTATTTATTTTTCAGAACACCTTCCTAAATTACAAGCCAGATCCTATTCAGTGTCAAGGTAATGAAATACTCTATCTCCTTGGTAATTTAGGTATGGTTTTTTTCAAATGTGTGTGTGCATGTTATAATCGAAAGAATAAAGAGAGGAATGAAGGATAAAGCCTGAGGAGAAAGTGATTGTGTCCCTGTTGCAAAAAACCCCACAAGATTTGACTGTTTCAAATAACATTGTTTTGAGTGTCTGGCAAGACTTTGGTCGAGTTCTCAAGAACAAGATCACACACGTGGTGAATGTGGTAGGAATTTGTATTCCCTTCTGTAGTCACTGGCCTCTGGAGTCCAACCTTAAGATGTTTTTTAACTACATATAAGTATCACACAGTTAGCTGAACACTGAGAATCCTGATTTAATTGAGGTGGTTTGGGCTGCAGAGGTACCTGCTGTGAGACTGTACAGCTTATCTCTCAGGTTTTCGTTTTGGTTTGGTTTGTTTTTTTTTTTTGTATTCTTTTATCTTTGCAGTTCAAACTTATACCAGCCAGGAAAACTGTGTTTTGTATTTAATATTGTGGAGTTCCCTGCCTGTCCCGCTAGAGCAGTCTCGCGGAGGGGAGTGTGTACAGGGTGGCTTGCCGAGTTAGTTGCACCAATACTGCACCCCAGTCAGAACACTCGGGATACAAAAGGAGGAAGCTCTTCAGCTGCAAAGGTACGAGTATTAGATCTAAGCTCCTTAACCGTTACACGTATTCACGTTTCGAACAACTGCAGGTTTCTTTGCTCACTGTTCTGATGTAGTGCGGGTGTTTTGGCAGTATATACCGTCGTCTTTTTGCAGTTCTACCCCACTTGTAAGCTTACCCTTCCCTCTGTAACATGTCGAGAGCTTCATTGCTGAGTCGTTAAACTTACACTTTACTTCACCTGTGGGTACCCGAATGGAGAAACTTCCCATTCCTGAAAGGCCAGAGTTGTTTTCCACCCCACTGGAGTCCCAAGCAAGTCCTGGAGGGTGTTTTAGCGGACTAAGATGCCGCTGTGCAATTAAGTGGTCGTTAGTGTTGTAGGAGAGAGGCACTGGGTCACTTCCAGGAAAGGGTGGCAAATAGCAGGGGGGAAATTGTAAAACTCACGTCTTGTCAGGTCTTGCCCCCTTTGCAAAGGCCAGGTGATTGGATATGACACAGGGGAGGGACAGCTGTCCGTGGTATTTCTGATGTGCATCAGAGATGGTTTGGCACAGTAGGTATTATTCGGGGAAGGAACTTTTTTTTTTTTGCCTCTTGTGTCAGAGAATCTATGTAATTAATTGGTCTTAAAGTTATTGGGTGTAAGGTTGTTATTAGAAATTTGAAAATCTACTATACAATTAATGATAAAAGAACTATGGCCAGTCTAATGTATATTTGATTAAGAAAAATGGAAGAAGGCATAGAATTTGGTTACAGGAAAACTGTGCCAGTAATTCAAGGTGTTGGTCTGGCAAAATGGAAGAAAACCCATACAAGTTATCTTCATGTTTTAAAACCAACTCAGAAGACAAACTGACTAATATGGGCATCATATCTCTTATTCCAGTATTCACATCTGCTCTTCATTTAAAATATAATTGACTTGCTGTATATCAAAGATGAAACATGAAAAAGAGATAGCGTTGAAAAGAAGAAGAAGAGAAAAGGATTATTACAAAATGAGTCTGAATAAAGTTCAAAACTATTTGCATCTGCTATGCAAGCTAGAATGCAGCATCCATAAATGTGCAGCAGTTCTCGGAGACTGCAGAAATATGTGGAATACCAACACAAAATAGATGAGTGTGATCTTATGCAAAAATATCTTAAATGAATTGAAGACACTTTACAGTATAAATGTGTTTACCATTGCAGTGTTTTTTAAAGGAATTACCAGTTTGGAATCATTAATAGGGAAAAGAGCCTTCTAACTCAAGCGTGGTTTGAAGTAGTAAGTATAACAAATACGAATATTGCCCTCCACCAGCAAGAATTATACTACTTTTTTATCAATGTGAGACCAGAAAAATAATCCTGTTTAATGCTGTAGTATCTGTAATGAATTAAACGGTAAGAAATGAGTAGTGCTAAACCACTCAGGGTTACAGAACGAAGTTAAAATAACTTGGTCTAGTGCTTCATTCCTTCCTTAAACTTGAAAGTAAATTCAAACCCTTCCATAATTAATACGCAAAATAAATCAGATGTTTGCTTATGACTTTAAATGGATGAAGCTCTGCTATGGCTGCTGCTGAGTCTTGAATAATCTTTTAAAGAATTAAAAATAGTAATCTCTCATTTTCTGTACGATATGTTAACCATGCCTCAGAGCGAAGTTGTAGAGCTCCTCTGAAAATAATATTTAGACTTTCTTTCAGAGGCAGATCTGAAGATCAGAATTAGAGTTTACTGGTGGAACGACACAAGCCATTTTCCAAGTTCAGTTACCTGCCTCCCCCCACCCATATGCGTTCTTGGAGATCACGTGAAACTTTAATGAAAATTAAGAAAGCAAGCTCAGTGTCAGTAGGCTTGAATTTGGTATAAACAAATCTTTACCTCTACTGGAATATTTTCAGACGTCCACCCTGTAAAAAAAAGGTTGAGTTGCTGATAAAAGCGATAAACTAGCTTTACTTCCCTTGGAGTATCGACACCAAACTTTCCATGATTCTGTAACAGTATTCCCTGAATTTATGGTGCAGTCAACTTTCATATTCAGAAACTCACGTTTGTGTGGTTCTCCTTAGTTTTCCTCCAGACAGTTCAATAGGTTTGTAAATATGGTGTGGGTTTTTTTCAGAAATTCACGTGAAATTTTATTCCAAATGTCTGTGTGGTATTAAAAATAAACTCTGCAGCTCAGGATTTGAAAGGGGGTGTGATCACATACACTGTGTAAATATCCTGAAGGTTCTAAAAATTCCATGATATTTTCACTGCTTAAGAGTATTCTTCAATTCTGTTTTATCTAATTTCATTTTAGATACCTATTTTTGCTCATCCAAACAATACTTTCCACTTACCTGCAGACCCATCTGTCCCGTTCATGATGGTTGGTCCAGGAACAGGAATTTCACCATTTATTGGTTTCCTACAACATAGGTATGTACCAAGTGGTTACCTGGACAGCAGCCTTTTTATGTCGAAGAAATTACAGCCTCAGGTTTTTACTACAAATACAGTTAAACCTTTAGTTTGTTTTTTTTTTTATCTTTCCTTTTCTTTTTGTAATAGTGACATACTGATTAGGAACAGTGTTAGTATTTTTGAACAAGCAGTGCTTGTATATTCATTTGCTTTTCAAATGAGTAAAAGTTCCGCTTTCATCTGGCTGTATTTGATATCCGTAGTGGATATATGAAGAATTGGGTGAATTGTAGAAACAGCAATAACAATTTAAATCCTTCGTCTCTATGTTGCTAGTGGAAGTCCTGTAAGAAATTGGTAGTTGTTAGAAACAGTGTTGATTGGCCTAAGTTTGTTACTCAAAATCCATTTCCTTTGGAAGTGGCATCTATATTAAAAGTCTTGGCATGATGAATGTCAAGTTTTCCCCCAACTCTGTTATTTCTGCGAGTTTACACATTTTGATGTTTCCAGATGAGGAGCTTGGCACCTGAACCCTCATCTGGGTAGTAGTCTTGGGTTTTGTGGGTTTGTATTTGAGGGAAGGTAGATCCTTTCTTTTCACCTCTGGCTCCAGCAGCATAATTTTGCAAGGCAGAGAGATGTTTGTTCAAAAGTGACGGACACCACGTCACCGAGAATGTGTAAAACCATGATCGTTGGAAGGAAATGCATAATGGGAAGAGTGGAATATTTGGGTGGGAATGGTTGCAAGTTTTATAGGTAACCACCACATATCGTTCCTATGTGTCTCCTTAGCTCCGGCAAGATAATGGAGTTTCCTGCGTTCTGTAACAATTATTTTTAAACCATTTTATTCGAGAGAAAAGTGAAATTTTGACATGATGTTTCTGACTCCATACTTCTGCTTTAACCAAATCATTATGTGTGATCCTTACTCCTGAATGCCCAAAGATGCCTCTATCTCTCAGAAGTGGTTTGCATTTTATTATCAAGGACTCATAGGATTTCATAAGCATTTAATCAATGATAAATGAAATCTCTCTCTGAAAATGTAACTAGAAAGTTGCAGCTAAAACCTCTCTAAAGTAATACCTTCAGCATTATTTCAAGAAAATGCAATAACTCTTCTGATGATGTGCTAGTAAATAAGTTGTTACTCGTAAAGGCCAGCAGGTTTCTACAGCTAGATGGAAAGCATACTAAAACTGCTTTGTGCTGAGTTCTCCCAGGGGCTTCTACAGGGTTTCCCCTGAAGGATAAAGGGTAGTGATCTCCTAATTCAGCAGTCAGGATTGTTTTGTGAGCTGTTTGGAACTGTCAGTCTTGAGTACTCCAATATGAAACGATGGCAAAAAACCCCGCCTTTGGAAGCTGATTGATTTTGAGCTGGGCCAAAGGTGAGGAATCAAGGAAATCAAATAAGGAGGGTTTGACTGAGATATTTACCTTGAGTCGGTTCACATTTCTGCCAGTCCAGAGGTTTATTAAAGCACTACTTTAAATGAGAACTAGGTTATAGATGTTTTAGATTCTGTGCTTGATAAAACAGAACTGGATTTTTTTTTTTTTTTTTTTTTTGGTCTGTTTAGGCAAAAGCTCAGAGAAGAACATACAGACTGGGAATTTGGAGAGACATGGCTGTTTTTTGGTTGTCGGCATCAGGATCGAGACTATTTGTTCAAGCAAGTCCACTATTTAGCATTCATTTTGTATTCACGAGGGAATGCTTATCTCTGAGCCATTACTAACAGTTTTCATTACCTTTCAGAGATGAGCTCAAACGTTTTCTTGAAAATGGCACGCTAACTCATCTTAAGGTTTGTTTCTCAAGAGACTCTTCAGCTGCAGAGGTAGCCCCACCTAAATATGTGCAAGATGTCATTAGGCTTTATGCGGCGGAAGTTGCCAGAGTCCTGCTGAGAGAGAGGGGTTACTTCTATGTGTGTGGGTGAGTAGAGCGGACTGTCTCGGAAAGAGAACAGAGGTAGCAGCAGTCTGAGGCTTTAGAAAGACAGAGCTGTCCGGGAGAAAGGACCAACCTGATGCTGAAAGAGCCTTCCTGGAATGGTAGAATTGCATCACCGTGTCTGGTTTTTCCAATATCGTCTTGAAAGTACAGCTTGTAACCGCACGGTTCCGCTGGTCGCTTTAGTCACTTACAGGTTCTTGTTTAGTATTCAAGTAAGCTGTAGGAGGTTTCAAGCTAATAGATTTCTCTTGAGAAAATGAGATACTTGAATGCATGTGATGATTAACTGCGCAGCTGGGAGGTAGCAGCAGTCTTCTGCTGTGTTCCAGGCTTGGGTGGGCCGGAATGCTAAAGCTCTGTAATAGTCATGTATTTTACAGTGGGAAGTTTTATTTGTGAATGGGAACGTACCTGGAGGCTCGAGATTTTTAGGAAGCTTGTTGATAAATGGACAAACTGTTTGAATATAGAGCCCAACGTCAGTACGTTCTTCTGCAGGAATAAATGTCAGCTAGTTGTATTGAAAATCACATTCTTAGTAAGTGAGGTGAGTTGGGTTTTTTTAATGTTGGAACCACAGGGTGATATAATAACAAAAAATACTTCAGCAGGTCCAACTCCTCCTAAAAGAACACTATTATTCTGTGACAGCTCAACTAGGGTTCCAAGGGTTTTTTTCTTATAAGTTACAACATGCTGAAAACTCTGGAATGTTTGACTGAGAGAAACCCTTGTTACCGTCAAGGTTCAGCTACGTGAAAACTCAGTGAGAATCTTGCCATACAACATACAAGCTATATTTTTATTTGGGATTTTTTATAATGTCTTTTTTCCAATATTATCCTGTCTCTGAAGCTATTGATAAAAGGAAAAATACACTATTATGCATTTTCTTCCTCTTTTTTTTTTTTTTTTTTTTTTCCCCAGAGATAAGAAGCACATGGCTGATGGTGTAAGTGATGCTGTAGTGGACATTTTAAGCATGGAAATGGAAGCGGACAAATTGGAAGGAATGAAAATTCTGGCCATGCTTCGAGAAGCAAAACGATATTTGCAGGATGTTTGGAGCTAAATATTTAGCTTTTCCTATGCCTTTAACACAGAAGATTTCGTTTCACACGTACGCATTTGACAAAAAGCCCTTGTCAGAAGTGCTGTCTGTAGTCACCCAAACCTTCACTTTCTCTGCTGACCTTTCAGGCGGGCATGTGAAGCCTTTTAAAGGACAGCAACCCAGGCTGCCATTTGAAGTGTATGGGTTTTAACGAGCCTACATAATGGACTGTCTCAGTGCCTTGATTATCTTATTTCAATATTGGTTTAACGTAGAAAGTAAAGATTTCTGCACTTGTACAGGTACAATTGTATGTATACACTGCATCATGTATGTTTTTCTACAATGGTATACATAAAGAAACTACAGAGTAAATATGATCCACACCATGAAATACATTCCTGACTTGCCGAGACTTATTTGAACACTTCTAGGTACTGCCTGAGACTGTTTATGTTTTTTCAGTTTGCACAATGACAGTAACTGCCAAAAGGAATTAACATTCAGAGCTCTGTGCAGAAAGGTTACTGCAGAATTTCAACTTTGAAGTTTTCTGTAAATACCTAGCTTTTTCCTTCCATCATTACATCATATCTCAAAGTTTTGCTATGCCCCATGCTAATCCTTATTAGATTTTCCTGCAAAATTCTTCTGAAATTATTTTCATTCCTTTCTCTAAAATGTTTGTGGTTTAATTTGTGAGCAAATTCGCCAGTCGGGTTGCATTTGGTTGCTGGAGCAATATTGCTTACTACATGCCTTTCAGATTACTGAACTAATTTTTTTAAGTTGAAGACAAGTAAGATAGGGTGTTTTGAAAGCAGTTGCTGTTGCATATGACAATCTGCTGCAAAAATCAAGTTGTTGAAAGGACATTGGGGAAGTATTTGGTCGTCTTTCTGACAGGGACCGTTGGGAGTGCAAATAGGTGGCAGAGTAAAAGTGTAAGTCACTCATGCTTCTTTTCAGATTCCTGTTTTCTCTCTTCTTTTTCTAGCTTCTAAACATCCATTTTTGTCTTCCTGGTTTCTTGACATACTTAGATCTTTAAAGATAAACACAAAGTATGAGAGAGTGCTTTAGACAAATCAGTTTATTTCCTGGGGAGAATTCTTGGTTTGTTTTGCCTTACACATAATCAGAGCCACATCACTTATTCCAAGTCTTGTGGTTGTCTAGTGACTATTAGTTAATTGGTAGGTAAATCAAAAAAAAAAAAAATATGGAAAAAAATGACCATCAGCCAGAATAAAATCTTGTGTTTAAGTAAGAAACATTGTAGCGAAGTGCCTGGAATTAGTTTTGATGTAACCTGTGTGGTGATTATTTAAATGTCCTTGGAAGAGGTCAGCTAAGATTTTGTGCAGAAGTTCTTCAGCAGAGTGACTATACCAGTCACTGTCAAGTAATCTCTACCAAGAAAAGCTCCGCAGGGAGAGGTGGTTTGCAGTAATTGCAGACAGTGCATTTCTGATCTTTGGCACATAAGAAGGAAAGGAGTGCTGCTTTTTGAAAAGTGCTCCAGTTTTGAACTTCAGTGTAAATGGCTAATGTGATGGAAACATCAACATTTTGCATCAGCCAGTCACCTTTACCTGTTTTTAAAAACGATTAATAACAAAAAGCTGCCAGTATTGCAATGGTAAAGACAAATCGTCGTCTTCTGTCAGCTGGAGTTGGTTTGGAAGTAGCACTTCCTGTGCGCTCTCAGGTAGCGTTTGTGATTTTCAGTTCCGCGTGGAAGTTTTTGGAGGTTAGAGCGAAACCAGTGGTGTTTTCTGACCGCGGTTTGCAGCTCTCCGCGGGCCTGCGGCGGGCGGTGGTCGTGCCGTGTCAGGTGCGGCGGCGGGCGAGGGCGAGAGGGCGAGGGCGAGAGGGCGAGGGCGATGGGCGAGGGCGAGAGGGTGAGGGCGAGAGGGCGAGGGCGACGGGCGAGGGCGATGGGAGAGGGCGAGAGGGTGAGGGCGAGAGGGCGAGGGCGAGAGGGCGATGGGCGAGAGGGTGAGGGCGAGAGGGCGAGGGCGATGGGCGAGGGCGAGAGGGTGAGGGCGAGAGGGCGAGGGCGATGGGCGAGGGCGATGGGAGAGGGCGAGAGGGTGAGGGCGAGAGGGCGAGGGCGATGGGCGAGGGCGATGGGAGAGGGCGAGAGGGCGAGGGTGAGGGTGAGGGCGAGAGGGCGAGGGCGAGGGTGAGGGCGAGAGGGCGAGGGTGAGGGCGAGAGGGCGAGGGTGAGGGCGAGAGGGCGAGGGTGAGGGCGAGAGGGCGAGAGGGTGAGGGTGAGGGCGAGAGGGTGAGGGTGAGGGCGAGGGTGAGGGTGAGGGAGAGGGTGAGGGCGAGAGGGTGAGGGCGAGGGTGAGGGAGAGGGTGAGGGCGAGAGGGTGAGGGCGAGGGAGAGGGTGAGGGCGAGAGGGCGAGGGCGAGGGCGAGAGGGCGAGGGCGAGGGCGAGAGGGCGAGGGTGAGGGCGAGAGGGCGAGGGTGAGGGCGAGAGGGCGAGGGTGAGAGGGCGAGAGGGCGAGGGTGAGGGTGAGGGCGAGAGGGCGAGGGTGAGGGGGTGAGGGCAAGAGGGTGAGGGCGAGAGGGCGAGGGTGAGGGTGAGGGCGAGAGGGCGAGGGTGAGGGGGCGAGAGGGCGAGGGTGAGGGTGAGGGAGAGGGTGAGGGCGAGAGGGTGAGGGCGAGGGTGAGGGCGAGAGGGCGAGGGAGAGGGCGAGGGCGAGAGGGCGAGGGCGAGAGGGTGAGGGCGAGAGGGCGAGGGCGAGAGGGTGAGGGCGAGAGGGCGAGGGCGAGGGGCAGCGCGGGTGCTGCTGGAGGGAGGGCGGGCGCGGGGGCTGGGCTGCGGGGCCGCGGCTGCCTGGGCCTGCCGTCCCTGCCCGCTCACATCAGGGCCTGGGGCAGGCTGGCGGGCGGGCGCCTGTCATTTTTGCCCTTCCAAATGTCATTGTAAGTAGAGCCCCAAGCCTGTATTTGCCAAAACTTAAAGGGATTGGGTTGGGTTTGGTTCGGTTTTTGCCCTTCCAAATGTCATTGTAAGTAGAGCCCCAAGCCTGTATTTGCCAAAACTTAAAGGGATTGGGTTGGGTTTGGTTCGGTTTTTGCCCTTCCAAATGTCATTGTAAGTAGAGCCCCAAGCCTGTATTTGCCAAAACTTAAAGGGATTGGGTTTGGTTCGGTTTTTGCTGTTTTGTCACCTTGTCTTCAGTGCATGCAGTGTAGCTGAGGGTGGGGCCCCGCGTGGGAACACGGATATTTCTCTACGTGCCTCTCCAGACGCAGGCTTTGCAGCAGAGGTCCCTGTGCCTGCTCCCCCCGCCCCGGTTTCACAAATGACTGCGCACACGCGTGTGGCTAAGCGGAAGGTCAGGAGCCCTTGCCGACCCCCCTGACCTCCCCTTTACTCCCCAGCTGCTCTCCGTGCGGGTGGCTGCCCGGGGCTTGGCCCGTGAGCTGCTGCCACCGCCTCCCCGAGCCCCCTGGGAGCTGCGGGGTGAGGTGCCCCCGCTGTCCCTCTGCCCGTGCCGGCCACACCAGTTCTGTCGGTGCCGGTGTCACGCGTGGCAGTGCCCCTCGTGCCCCTGCACAGATCCCAGGCTGGGGGTCCCTGCAGCCCGGGTGCTGCTGAGCTTACACTCGGGAGCGTGGGGAAATCGCGTCGTGGGGTTCGGTTTGTCGGTTTGCTTGCTTCTTTGGCAAGGTGCTCTATTTCTTCTTGCTCCCATCAGTGGCACCTACTGCTCCGTGTTAGCTCCAGGTATGTCCTGCTCTTAGGAAGACTCATGGAACAGAAGGATGTTTTTCTTCCTTGCCCAACACAAATGTCCATGCAGCAGGATATTTGTTCTGGTGGAAGTGTCTTCCTCATTAACCCTTTATTCTAACATAAAGATTTCAATTGATTTTTCTTGTGCTTTCAGTTTTGGTTTGGTTTGGTTTTTTTTGAGTTGTTTTTTTGGGTTTGTTTGTTTTGTTTTGTTTTTTTTTTTTTTCAGTAGAGCCCAGCAGCGATGATTAGTTTCTGTTAAGGCTTTTAAGAGCATTTACCAGGCCCATGATATTGTTCAGTTCTAATTCAGCTGGTTGGATATAATCAAGACAGTGGAAGTGTTACTATTCCAATATATTAAAAGAAAGAAATGACTCCATTTCTGTTTGATAGATGTTTCTCAGTTTCCCACTTGTTCTTTGAGGTAATTCCTACTGCTATATAGGGCAAGAGACGCATGGAATGCCAAAGCCAGTGGCATCTGTGCAGAGTTTCTGTGGACTCTTCCATTAACCAGGGGCTTGCTGCACTCTTAGTTGTTGTAAACACTCTGAAAATCCTAACTTTTTTTCAAACCATCCCTGAATGTTACGCAAATCCTTCTCCAGCAGTTACACTTTATACTGCCTCAGAGCAATTACCGTTGCTAGATGAAGATGTGTTGCCATGTAAACCATATGGAAAAGGTACTCGTCATGTTTTATCTCAGTGTTACCATGTAGCCTTATTAATACTGCTTCCTAGATGACAGCATTTCTTTGCTGTCGAGGGCAGAGTTATTTTGTCAGATTCCACGCTTGGCTAAAGTGGTGTCCGTGATGGATATTAGAGCAGGTGCCCATGCCTGAAGACTTGGTGCTTTTTAAAACCTTTGTCAGCACCGTGCCGTACATAATGTCAGGTGTACCTGACTCACAGATCCTCTGCTTGAACGGACGGATTCAGCTTCAGCTGGATGTAGTCTTAAATTCCACTTAAATAAACATTTATATTCGGTCCATTATTCTGTAAGTGATTTTTTTTTTCTTTTTTTTGAAAGAAGAATAAAAGAACACTTACAGCAAGCAGTTGTGAAATGACCTGCCTGAAGCTCAGCTTTGAGCTTCACAGTTAACATGAAGTTCTCGGCTTGCGACGTTGATTTTCTGCAATGTAAATGGATATTCTCATTGCATGTTTATGCATTTAGCAGTCTGGTAGGTTGGTGGCCTTGCACAACCAATTTATTAGTGTCTCAGTTTCACTGCATGTCTCTTGTATAAAAGTGATTTTTTTTTTTTTGAGTAGTTCTGTCATCCTACATCTCAGTTGGACAGCTTCAGATTTTTTCCTGCTTCTCAAATGGAAACTTCATACCTCCAACTCTGGATCCGTTTCACTCCAGTTATGCTTCATTGCAGTTGGGAAAACCAAAACTGAATCCAGTAGTCCAATTTCAGACATGACAGTGATTATAGAATAAATAACACAGCATTTTTTCAGTATTATTTTCTATTTTATTCTTGCTTTTTGGGGTGTTGTGGAGGAATAAAAATGAAAAAAAATCACAGCGTGCCTGGTGGTGATTAGAGGAAGAATATTACATCATTGAAAGTTATGGTCTACAAGTCCTGGTCAGTTATGGTGAATTGAGAGATGAA